TCTAGAAATTGTGGCTCTTTGTGGCGAATAGGGGTCTCCTAACAACTTTCAGCGCCCTTAACAAACTTCAATGCGCAGAATACTTTGGCAGAAGCCATGACTGTTTAAAGTGGTATTGCAGTGCTTTAAATGTATGGTCTGGATGTATGGCGATAGTCAAGGCAGTAGAAGCAGCAGTGTGTTGCTTGAATTATAAAATTGCTATCAGCTGGTGAGTCAAGTGACATAATGCCCTTGTCTTCTCTGGACCAAATGTATCCAGAAACAAGCACAGCAGTGCAGTACATGAAGTGCTGCTTTATTCATGAATGAAGTTACTGGAAAGGAGACATAACAATTCGGCACACATCACAAAGCATACTTCCAAGAAGGTACTACCTCTTCAAAATTTCTTACAACAAAGCCTGACAGTCAAACACTAATGGCCTGAAGATAACAGCCGGTTCTCAGTGGCTTCTGTGAGGTATGCCTTGAAAAATAGCTGCTGCTGCCTGGCATAGTTTATCATCTATAAAAGATGTGAGTTGTTATGGCTCCTTTTACTATTGTGAAGTCTGAGATTGAATTCAAGAATTATTACACTCATAGAATGTGACTGGCATAGTGTTAGAGGGTCCATTCATACTTACCTAAAATGTGAAATACCGTACGTATCTTTCTAAAGTGTATACTGATTATAGTGTGATATCACTGAGCTCAGATCATGTTTTCCCAATTGACCGCCAGAGGGCTTCTACTTGGAAATAATTAACATGCAAATATATAGTTCTGGGTGGAATCTACACACATATAAAAACTTTTCTGAAAATCCTTTTTAAAAAAAGAAGCATTTTTAAAAATGCATTGAATTTTCCATAAGGCTCGCCATCTAGTTTCACATTGTATATAGCACTTAAAACACACTTAAGACGTTTTATTTGCAGCTGTATAGCTGAGTCCCTGGTTTGTCTAAAAATTACACATGGGTAGGTGAGTAACGAAAGAACTGCCTCACATATCCATAAGGTCCTCAGCCTCAGACGTTGCTTGTGCAGTTGAGAATTACTGGTAAATTAAGATGATTTCCTACTGTGCAAGAAATTACCGGAACTCAATTCTGGTACCTCTCAGGTGGGCGCCATTGCCATTATAAGAGAACAGGGGCGGTGTTCTTGGTGAGTTCCGGCACCTCTTTTTCTAGAAAACTACCACTAATTCTATGGTTTAGTAAAAAGGCTAAGATTGCAGCATCTTCAAAAAGTGGGTCAGAATCACTTCTGACCATTTCCATTTAATATCTTGCCTTCTTCAGAGTGAACAAATAACCAGCTTGTCTCTTCCCAACCTCTGTCAACTGCATAAAAATGTCCCTACTAATTGCATTTCATTGGTTCTGCAGTATGTACAACCGTAGCCAAACTAATACAGCTTCGGGAATCTGAAAGCATCCCCAGCTGCATACATAGGGAAAGCAACTTATTCAAATTTGTCATGAATTGGGCCGTATTCCATTTTCTCAGCTTGCTTGGAGAGCCAGGAAAATATCTTTTGCATTAGCACTGCTGTGGAAAGTGCTAATGGAAACCCATTGTGTTTGTGTGAAAGGGAAGATGATCATTTTAAAATGTCATTGCACCAGGAGAGGCTTGTGTTTTTTCCCCATTGCAGGCAGGGTCATATTGAGTAAAAGTATTATTCTGTGCCCAAAGAGGGAGCTTGTTGTTTAAACTGAGGGAGAGTGGCTTGGGGATTTAGTGCCTGAAAACCAAGAAGTCTGTTAAATAATGAGGGCATCATTAATGAAGAACATTTATTGCCTTGTGGATTTCTAGTTCTGGTCTTTTATCTCCTGCAGCAATAAAACTAAAAGGCCCTTGAAGAAGTTCCATGTCCTCTTTTTTTACATACATATTTGATACAAATGTACATTTCATATCTAATTGGAGAAAACATCAACTGAGGTGTTTTCAATGGTTCGCCTTCCACATCTTCCTGTAATGTTTATGTACAAGTAATTCTATTTAGCAAAGACCCTTTCAAATTGTTAAGATTTCTGTTTGCAGGCTCTGCCTCTTTATGGCTTCCTTTTAATTGTGCTTGAAGGATTAGATATTCATAGCCTCTTGAATTTTGTTGTTTAGTCGTGTCCGACTCTTCGTGACCCCATGGACCAGAGCACGCCAGGCACTCCTGTCTTCCACTGCCTCCTGCAGTTTGGTCAGACTCATGTTTGTAGCTTCGAGAACACTGTCCAACCATCTCGTCCTCTGTCGTCCCCTTCTTCTTGTGCCCTCAATCTTTCCCAACATCAGGGTCTTTTCCAGGAAGTCTTCTCTTCTCATGAGGTGGCCAAAGTATTGGAGCCTCAGCTTCACGATCTGTCCTTCCAGTGAGCACTCAGGGCTGATTTCCTTAAGAATGGAGAGGTTTGATCTTCTTGCAGTCCATGGGACTCTCAAGAGTCTCCTCCAGCACCATAATTCAAAAGCATCAATTCTTTGGCGATCAGCCTTCTTGATGGTCCAGCTCTCACTTCCATACATCACTACTGGGAAAACCATGGCTTTAACTATATGGACCTTTGTTGGCAAGGTGATGTCTCTGCTTTTTAAGACGCTGTCTAGGTTTGCCATCGCCTTTCTCCCAAGGAGCAGGTGTCTTTTAATTTCGTGACTGTTGTCACCATCTGCAGTGATCATGGAGCCCAAGAAAGTAAAATCTCTCACTGCCTCCATTTCTTCACTCTTAATTGCCCCAATGTCAGTTTCTGTTCCATGAGAAGAGGCGGGTTATAATTACTTGTTTCCTTAGTTTTTCATTTTGCTGTTTTTATAATGCAATAGTGATATTATGCTTAAAATTAATGCAAGGAAACTAACAATTATAGCCCTCTCTGTCACGATAAGAACAGAAAATGGCACCGGATCAACTGAGACTGTTTAAGGGACAATGCAGAGGTTACTCATCACAACCCCTCTCTGTCTGCAATCTGAAGCTTTAAGCTTCAGTTGTTCTCTGCCTGTCCAAAATGAAAATGTGGGTGTTGCAACTTTATTTTATTACACACCCAAAATAAGCACAAATCAGGTATGAAGGCAGGGAGGGAGAGATGGGAGAGCAGCACAGAAAACACTCAACAACACCAAATTGAAAACTTTTTCATAAAAGTTGACTAAAAAAAGGGAGGAAACTGGAAATAAAAGGGTAGCGTGGAAGCAACCACTGATCACATTGCTCAATGTATTATTGGTGAGAAGGAAGATACCTAAGAGTGTCTCTTCAAAGTATTTTAACAGCACGATCCTGAACCTACTTAGAATTGAGTGCTTACAGGTATGTCTACTCTACATAATCACACAAGCTGATTTAAAGAACCACACAATTAAACTCTTATTTGTTGAGTAAAGATGCAAAGGTTTTCCAGAATCAAAATTCAAAACAATATTGGTGTGCTTTCTTAAAAGTTTTTTTTTTCCCAGATTACATCAACCACTTTATTATTCTTTGTTAAAAATGTATCGTATCTAATGTTTGACTTTGCTTTAGTGCAAAAGGTGAGGAACCTTTTTTGCCTGCTCAACTGCACCTGCCCACCTAAATTAAGATAAGGACAGCTCCCTTTGGTTTTATGTGCAATTAATTCATTCACAACCTTTTAATAAAATGGGAATTACAAATGCTACAAATGAAGTCAGCCTTCTGATATGACAGCAAATATTTGTGATAGGGAATAGTTCTAGGAACGATCTTGGAGCAGAGCTGCCACATCACCATCGTTGGTTGCTGGATGAGATATTGGCAAGTTCTCACCGTACTAACAGCACCCACTCACTGGAAATCCTAAGTGGTTGCTGTTAGAAACGGAAATAAAAGGACTGTCCTGTTCACTTTTTTCTAAGACATGTTTTTTTTCAGTCAATTTCAGCTAAGATTTAAGTAACAGATAGTTAATACTTAATGACCACTGTAAACATTTGTGAGACTAGAACTTCATCACAGAATCACAGGCTTCCTGACATTTTCTGTGGGCAATAGAGGAAAACCAGTTTAAGACTTTCAAGAACTACTCGGGCGCTACAGTAATGGAGCAAGTTATCCAATATATCAGCCTTCACCAACCTTGTGCCTGCCAGATGTTTTAGACCAGTGTTTCTCAAACTTGGATCTCTAGCTGTTGTTGGACTACAATTCCCATCATCCCTACCAATAGCAGGACCAATGGTTAGCGCTGATAGCTAGTAGAACTGCAGCAGACCTGAGTGGTGGTGGGAAGGTTAACCTTTTCTTCTCTGGTACAGTCCTGAGTCAACTCTGAAGGTCAGATTTGTTTTCCACTGGGGAAATTGGAGCCAACCCACACCTTCAGAGGAGGGGTTTCCTCACAACCACAGCAGGGGAGGAAATGGTTGAATTCTTCCTTCATGTATGATGCATTCATAACCAGTATCAGCAGCCCTTCCTTCCATAGCTGATGCTATTTGCAATTTTAAAGACCTGAACATTAAATGCAAAGACATATTTTAGCATCCTGTACAGTTTGCCTTTCGCTTGCTTGTGCCCTCACAGGCAGGAAAGTTTGGAAGGTGGTGCCTCACGGTGACATAGTAGACTGTACAATTTAACAACTATGCAGGAGAAGACAGCACATGACAACTCCACCTAGCATCTAATGCAGTAGATAGCTTGTTGTCCACAATATTTACTGTAAAGTGAGCTTTTTTGTTTTTTGTTTTTAAAAAGGAACATTACAAAAGGAAATCAAATGACCAGAACATTTTCTTGTCTGCAGCTGGGATGGCTTTGTTAATTGTTCTGTGATGAGCTGATACAAGACATGTTTTCCTTTTCTTTTCCACAACACCTGTTTGTGTCACTAGAGTCACAGCACATGAGTCACAGCACACCCGTTATTGACTTTGGTTGAAGCAGTGAGTGCTAGTGCACTTCTCTTTGTCCAAGGTTGCTAAGTTATAAAACCACAAGTTCCACAACAGGCTGGTAGATGACAATATTTTGTTGTCGTCTCTGAACAATAGACCGTACTGAGGCCTAAAGGGCTGAGGCTTGTGAAGCAAAGAGAGTTTTGAAGGCAGACCAAAAATGTACCCTGGGACTATAAAACACAGGCCAAAATTCATCACAGAGTTTTGCTGAGAAATGGTGCCATTGTTTAGAAAACCTGGACAGTTTAAACTCCCTCAGGCAGCAGGTAAGAGTATGAAACCAAAACACAGTACAGAGGGATCCATCTGTTGACACATCACACATTCCTGCTTGTTTGTTTGTTTGTTTCCCTGTGGTGCATAAAAATTAGCCTCATACATTTTATTTATTGTCTAACAAAATTCTATGTGGCAGGATCTTACTTTTTTAAAATTATCTTGCCTTGTCTCCAGGTGTGCTGCTTCTTCCTGCAGGAACATTCTGGAAGGATCTGTGTGATATCTTCAAAGTAAGTCAGTGCAACCAAATTATTTGATTTTGTTGTGATGGCATGATTACAGACAATAAACTCTAAAACTTTTTTTTTACTTTTTTTTAAAGGAGAGGGCTACATTTCCTGAATCAAACCTAAAATATGAATGTAGTGTAACCTTTAAGAAAGTATGCTGATTATGTATGGAATTTTACTCAAGCAACCAAGAATTTGGGAGGGAATCTAGATAATTTAAATTTACCCTTAATCCCATGATTCACAAAGCATGATGTTGGTTCAAGATGCATGCAAAGGAAATATGAGCAGATACAGAAAACACACCTGGAAAAGAGAGAGCAAAAAATTAAAAGGGAAGCAAGCCTACAAAGACAAAAATAATGTTTCTTTTATTTTATTTTCACTTGATTAAAGAACCAGGAAAGATATATATATATAGCTAAAAAACAAACAAACAAACAAACAAACCCGGGGGGGGGGGGGGGGAAGCTATCTATCATTCTTAGACATAAACACATAAAGCTGAAGCACATAAAAATAGTATGTTAAGAAAATACAGTATATCAATTAAAATCAGCATCATCCAAGAAGATAAATCCAAGCTATTAGATTAATTATGGCAGGTATAAATCACTTCATGAAAGGGAATCTTTTTGAAAGCACAGGAATATCGCTTTAAATTGCCAGAGGGAATTTCTCTCTATACTGAGAATCACATCGAGGGTATCATCAAACCCTTTGGGGAGCGAGTTCTGAAAAACAGGCATACATAATTCTTGGATATATCTTCATATAGGTTATCTGTGGCTATGAGTGCCTCCTCACCCCCAATGTAATAATAAAAAGATTGACTTTCTTTAATATTTGCTATCATGCAACCCAATGCTATGCATGTTTGCTCAGAACAAAACTCCACTTCCTAGTAAGTGTGCCTCATATTATTCCTAAATATATTATCTATTGCATTGCAGCATCGTTAACTCTTGGGAAGATTCACTATGATTGGTTTTGAGAAAGTATTATTTGTGCTAATATAATATTTACACCAGATAGCAATGGCTGCAGTTCAGCAAAGCAATTTCCTCAGTTCCTGAGGCACTATGAAGTACAGACGCAGTTTGCAATGGCATGCACCGTGTCCTTTGTGTGCCAGCATGAATGCATGTGACTGGCCCACCAGGGACCATAGCTGGGAGCCAATGCTGGGAGCCAAGATGAGCAAATAAATTTCAGTGGCCCCATAGAGTGGCCACTTCATGCATCACCCAAAAATGACACTGATTTGCATAAAACCTCCATATGCTAACGCATGCATAGGCACAGATTTGGAAATAATGTATATCATTTACACAGAAATACATCTCACCATAGCACGGAAGACTGTTACCTTGTACCTGCTCGGTCTGATGTTTGTGTCTAAGTGCTAACCGTTGATAGGTGTGGGATGTGAAACACAGAGCAGTCAAGTACAACATCCCAAGAGTGGGCATAAAAAGGGGGTGTCTGGACCAGCCAGTCGGAATTTCCTGTTTCCTCCTAGGCTGGGACAGACTTCCTCTACATGTGACCAGAGGTGGGTGTGGCCTCACCTGTGCAGATAACAAAAGCATAGGACTGGCCACCATCTCTCTCTCTCTCTGACTACATTCATCGAAGAAGCAACATCTGCTTAGCCTAAGATGCTCTCTTGGCTTCCAGCTAAGAGGGGACAAAGGGACTATCTCTTTATGGGATAGATTCCAGGTATATTACTTTTGTAACTTAAGTCTGCCTTCTGGGATCCATCTGTGAACAGAATGAGTGAGCGAGTAAACTCTTTTTATACTTTTATAGAAGATTGTGTCGTGTCTATTTCTTTTATGAGGGACTAAAGGGGAATTTACCAGGTAACTTATTTTAGAGGCTTTAGAGAGCCTGAGCAAACACATCCGCTGTGCAAGTTTAAAAAGGGGAATGTTACTCTGCTAAATTGTAGAACTTGTTAACACAAGTTGGAAAGGATATAATCAAACAATATATCATCTCCTGCCTCCCTGAACATTCCCACAATAAGCAACTTCAAGGAACCCTGCTCTCCTTTCTTAGGGTTCTTTATCTTCAAACAAGGCAGCAAAACCAGCTGTACCAGAGTGTGACACCTACAGGAGGCAGACCCTAGAGGATGGCGCCTGCCCCGTGTCCGCTAAGCTTTCCTGCTGTGCTCGGGTTCCATGAAGAATCCTGTGCTATTGCCAGTGTTGAAGTAAACTCAGCTGCCAAACCGTTCAGTTTCTGTACATGAAATGCAGGGAGGAGGCCATTTTGTCATTTGCCTCAGGCAGCAAAATGTATTGGGCCAGTCCTTCACAGAGGACTCCTTCAAATAGAAGATTGTCTGCTGTAAAGTAGGATACATGACCCTTTGGGGATGGCATTGGGAAGAAAAAGGGGTTGTTTAAAAATTTGGCTACGTTGATAACAATAGGTGGCTTTTCCATTCATTGCCTTTCAAGATATCACAATAACAGTTGAGACACCTTTCAGTAGAAAGCTTCTTTCCAGTATTAACCAACCAGTCTTTGCATATACCTGACTGCATGGAGTGACCTTTTCAAAGTGCTTGATATGCCCAAAAGTAGGAGGCAAGAGCAGGGTAACAATCAGCATTTGAATGCCTTTTGTTATTGCCATTCTTTGATATTGACAATATGCTTTGTCTGTCAGCCTCACACCTGGGAGTTCTGCCTATGCCAATGACTAATAGTGATATAATAGCATAATAAGGGGCAAAGATTGGATCTTTCCTGGCAGATCTAAAAATGAATTTCAAAAGTCAGCTTCTCAGACGTTTGTCATTTCTCTGTTTATGAATGACTCTGAAATTGAAGTTTTCTGGAAGCAGTGAAGAAAACCTGGCAAATGAGCAGTTGCCACCTTTCAAATTATGTGTTAAGTGGTTCACACTTAGATCCCATTGCTCTCTATCAAATCTCTGCAGATGAATCTTCATACATTATGTGTAATATCCTGCAAACCTGTGGTTTCCAACCATAAGGAATCTGCAGTGCATTATAATCTCTGATTCCTCCTTGATATCTCATTACGAGGAGATATCAAGACAAATGCAAAATAATAAATATCCTTGAAACCAACTGCTTTTTGTTTTGCAATCTAATCTTAAATATGGCCAAGATCAGAATATTCCTCTTTGCTGTGAGTCTTGCACCCCACCCAACCTCAATGGTGCTGCTATCAGGATTAGCTCTGGGCCCATTCCAAAGATGATGAGGTTCCCACCAGCTCTGCACTTGGTCCCAACAGTGACAGGGTAAAGCCTTCCTGCACAACTTCCTTTGCACTAAAGCAGAAGTGGGGAACCTGTGCCCCTCCAGATGTTGCTGGACTAGCACTTCCATCACCCTTGACCATTGGCCAAACCAGTGGGAGCTGAAGTCCAGTAACATCTGAAGAACCACAAGTTCCTCACACTTACTCTAAAGTGCAGCAGCAGGAGGAGAAACATGAGCTGCAGGTTTAGCCTATGACTTACTGCATGCAAAATCTATACTGTGACGCCTTCTACGCATCCCAACAGAGTTATTTAAAAATAAAACGCAGAGACATATTTTCTTCCAAGTTTTTTAAAAAATCACTTTCTAGATGTACTTCACAGGGTTTATTTAAAAAAAAAAATGGCAAGAAAACTTGCTATATCAAACAGCTGTCCATGTGGGATTTGTGGGTTTTTATGGAAGGGGTGCATAACTTCAGTTTTTCAGTTTGAACATGAATTATAGTTAGTTTTAACTGACTCTAGTGTTGTTATTTATGATTATGTTGTTTGATTATTAGTACTAATCACTTTCTACAAAACCCAGCAGATTTTTTTATTTTATAACGGTACAAATTAGTCATCCACAGCAGAAACACACTGCATTATATTTGATATATTTGTTTTATTTCTCTTTAACTTTGTATTCTGGCCTGGTATCTTTGTAGCTGCATGGCTATCTAGAAGAACTTTTATAAATCTTTTTATTTTATATATTAAAAGATAAAAATATATATTCAAAGGCGATAACCATAAACTTTGTAAATAAAATGTGCATTTTGACACTTACATGTTGAGCATATTGTGAGCATCTTCTGTGAAGCACCCAGTGCAGAATTCACAGGCTACATTCAAGGGGCACAGATAGCATTTACAACTACCTTCAAAAAGTTACTTTTCTCCAGAAATCTTGTGGTATCCAGCCCTGAATATACCCATAGGTTATATATTAACTTCCTTTTGCCTTGCTGTCACTATATGAAGTAATTTGGAATCCAAGCTGCTAGAGACAAGTACACAGATCTGCCAAAGATAAATAAATAAAATAAATATTTTTTTATTTATACCCCTTCCTTCCCGGTTCAGAAAACTGGGCTCAGGGCGGCTAATAACAAATTTAAAACACTTAATTGATGCAACAATCAATTCATCAATTCATCTCATATCTCTTCGCTTGTATCTGTGATATAATCTTATACGGACATATGAGAGTAGAAACAACCTCTGTGGCACACTTATCAGGTGGAAATATCTCCTGAGTTCCCTCTCAGACCATCCGGCTAGCAGTTTCTCCACTGACTGGTACAAAGCTGCCAATGTCATACACAGCACCTGTCCTGTCCTGTTTTACTTTGTCAGCAAAGCGGATCAGGTTGTTTCTGGCATTTTCACAGCTACTGAGCCATCATTACTGGAAAACTTTGAAGGTTATTAACTAAGCAATCTGAAGGCGGCAGGGGATGTGGCAGGGCAGGAACCAAGTTGTAGTGCATCTGGCATATCCAGCACCCTGCTGGGATCTTGCTGGCACTGCAGGTGGAACAGGACAAGAACAATCCTCTGTCCTTTTCCAGTTCGTTTTCTTTTTACAGTTTTTTCTCCCACAGGGAAATTAAATTGGATAAACTCACATGGTCCAACAGAGCCATTCAAATCCACATTATTATTACAATATGGTGACAGGTGTGATGACTCTGCCATATCCGAGTGCAGTATTTCAGAGTTCAAAACATGGGGGGAAATGGAATGAAAAATACTAGGAAGGATGCTGAGAAGATGCAGCCATTTTTAGCTTCAGCAGATGTAACTTCAGCTTTTCAAAAGTTAAGAAGCAATCTTTTGCCATCTTTGCCGCTTCATGATATTGACGATCAGGATGGCAAAACTGTAACTGTCTAGGTGAAACCCTGACAATTGGATAATCCAAGTTGGATATCTGTGATATGTATAGCAAGTTCAGAGATGGACAAATCTGTTAATTTCAGTTTCTCTCAGCTTCACGTTTTTCCCAATCTTAAATTCAGTTCACCACACTCCTACATCAGTTTGTAAGATTTTTAAGTCCCCATGAAATTTTATCAGCATTTTAGTGCCCATTTCTCCTCATATCCAAAGTTTTGTATGTTATTTTTGCATTTTTGTATATTATTTTCACTAATATATGCATTTTGTGCACATTTTTTTTGGTTGGAAAGCTGCATGACAAAATTCAGAGATGTGCAAATTTCAGAGAGTAGCTGTTGATGTTTCAGATATTGGTTTGGGGAATTGCGCATTAGGTAAATCTGCATTGCAATGTGAATCAATTCAAACTTCTCCTCCATCTCTAGCAAGTAGCATCAACTGCCACTTGGTGGTCTGGACATTAATACTGACTTTTTGTAGAATGCAGCAGCCTGAGATTTGCAAGAAAAATAAACAAGATATAGTGCGACATTGCTAAGATTTTTTTTAACTTGGGGACCTTTCTTTCTCTGGGAAATTCATGATCTTCTTTTCTGTTTGTAAAGCTAATGATATCTTACTCCTCAGAGGATGGAAGACTTACGTTAAACTCTATTTCAAAACATTGCCTAATCTTGGGGCACAATCTAGGACAGAGTTTGGTTCATGCTCAGGTCCCTTAAACACTTTAGACACAGAATATCTTGCTTGCTGACGTAGAATAAAACATGTTAACAAGCTATCTGTTTTTTATGTTAACAAGCTATCTGAGAGTCAGGGCAAGTTCTGTTCTTTGTACTGCAAATCTCAGCCGTTATAAAACCTAGGCTGTATTTCTTAATCATAGCATGCCAATGGCTTATATCTTCACTATAGTATAAATTCCATTCATGCAAACATACAGCCAATATGAAGGCAGTGCTTCGTGTCCCTAGAAGTCCTGAGAAATGTTCTACCAATGCAACCTTTCTTTTACTTAACAAAGTATGTTTCTGGTGCTTACGGTGAGTAATCACTTGTGGTTTTGACTATGATTTCGTAACCCTCATGAGAATGAACATTCAAAAATGACAACAGCCCAGCTTCCAGTCATTGCAGGAAGCTAGGCTGTAATGAAGAAAACTACAGCATTTGAAAGAGAGAGAAAATGGTGTAAAGATACTAAAAAGATAATGTGTGAGAGTGAGATAAAAACACTAGATATGAGGATCATCCGGTAAAATCAATGGGCAATAGGTACATACATGTGTGAGAAAGTTTATCAACAATATCAAAATACTATTGCAGATGGTCCTCTTTGCAGACATCTTTAGAAAATCGCAGTGAATGTTTTGAGCTGCTACTGCAAAGGTGGCAACCTTGTTTGTAATGGTTTTATTGTGGTCTGTCAACAGATCACAAATAATACCAGTCAGGGTCCAGCCAGCTCTTGCTCTCAAAAGGTCTCCCCAAAAGAGCTCTGAGATCTCTATACAAAGGACGATGCCAATGATAATGCATTACGTCTTCCACCTCCCCAGTACCACAAACACATGTCTGCTGAGTATAGAGGATCCTTTTATACTTTTTCCTCCAAATAGGTTGAGGCATTGTTTGGAAACAAAGGGAAGTAAAAGCTTTTCTAAGGGCAACAAAAGTTAGGGAAGTTAGATCTTGAAAGTACTGTTGAAAATATTGCTCTCTTTCTAATAAAATAAACCAAAGGTAAAACGCTTGGAGTTGGCTAGCAAGAATCAGCTTGGTGAGATGGACATTGGAGGCCCTATTTTAGTGTGATTTTGATCCCAATTTGAGGATTGGTTTCAGATAATAGCATTGGATGATGATCTGTTGGCCATCTAGAGATTCAGCTGTTGTGTGCTGCAGGGACTATCTAGTCCCCAATGCTATTTAACTTCTTATGAAGCTATTGGGAGCAATTATTAGGAAATGTGGGGTGAGGTGTCATCAGTACACTCTATCTCTCTGTAACATATGAATCAAGCAAGGCCACTGCCTTGACTTGGTGGTGGGTTGGATGACAGCCAATAAACTGACCCTGAATCCTGTCCAGATGGAAGTGTTGTAGATGGGCAGTTCCTGAGTGATCAGTTGCCTGCTTTGAGGGGTTATCCTTCCTTGAAGGAGTGGATTCATTGTCTGGGAGTGCTACTAGATCCATCACTGGCACTAGAAGTTCAGGTGATCTGTGGCTAGGAGTACCTTTCACAGCTGGCACTCAGACAACAGACTGAGCAGGCACATAGTCTGGTCACATAGTTCCACACCGGTGAGATATATTTCTATTTGAATTAAAGCAATTTCTAAATTTGCATCTCAATTTGCAGCCTCTTTTGTCCTCTTTGTAATGCATTTTCTCCTTTTTGTCATAAATACGTTACCATCCTTTGGTCTAATCACTATTAAAGTTCAGTGTGCATATCTTTGATTGTTTTTGAAACCAAGCATCTATTGTACCTACAAGAGGGTTGGGATCCTACAGCCTAGTATAAAATGAACCATTTTGCACTGTGTGCATTTGAAAGTCAGTTCCTCCAAGAAGATTCTTAGCAGGAGTCTGCAGGTTTCTGTAAACAATAGTTCTGCTTTTATGTTCATACAGTATCCAGATGCAACATCCAGTTTAAACAATGCTTGATGTATGGTCCACTGACCATTTGTAGCATCTCAAACTCTTTCATAAAGCACCTCAAATCCTAAGCAACTTTCTGGAAGAAAAGACAATTAGCAATTGCCTTAATTTTCTGCAAGTTGCTAACTTTTGTCCTCTTGGCATTTGCTTTTTTTTTTTTTTTTTTTTTGCAATTAATAAGTGGCTGTATCAAGATTGATTTTCTGCAAGCCGCAAACTGCAGTTGGTTCTCTTGTGTGGTAAAAGCAGATTGCTTCCTTTATTGCAGGACTTTATTGCAGGCCTCCATTATACCAGGAGGAAAGGAAGGCAGTATTGATGCAGTTTTTTGGGGGGGTGTGCTTGTTTTTAACCGCTTTCAGTCTTATGTCAGGGGCCAAAACCAGTTGATATTAATCAGATTTAAAATTAGGCCGCGGTCCAGATTCAGAGTATGGCGTGTAGTTGCTGGTCTCCTTCCAAAAAACCCTTGAAGAAGAGGTGATTTTCAGCAGGAAACTGGCACCCATGCATCATGCTCCCGATCTGGATCAGGTCCCTGTGGGGCTACTTCTCCTTCAGAATAAAAGTAGTAGCATTAACCATGCTTTTAAAGAAGTGTGCTTAATGTTATTTGTCGCTTTCCTCTTGGAGTGTTAGATATTCTCAAAGCACAGCATCAAAGTTGTCAAGAATATGCATGTGTATGACCTTAGGTGCATATATGCGTGCATACATCTGGCTTAAGAGAAAATATTGTTTAAGAAAACCTGTGAAAGATCCAGGTACATCATCTTGCAGCACAGGAAGGAGAGTGTCAGTGGATACCAGTAAGGATACTGTACTTAGAACAGAAGAGCAAGTGCCTAGGTTAAATACCATGAGTACTAAGAAGTATGGTGCAGGAGCAACTATGATTCTACAAACCATCCAAAGAGAGGGAAGCAGAGGGAGCTCTGTGCTCCTGAATTCTACTGGGATGCAGCTGCTCTGCTTCTAGGCTGCAGCCGCCGCACTTACCATGAAGCAATGTGAAGCAATGGAGAGGCAGATCTCAAAATGGTACTAGTTTCTTGTGCCTACATATGTGTCAGGGAACTGCCATCGGAGCTAGAGGCGGAGGGAAGGCTCCAAAGGGATGCAGGAGAGGGTCCCAGTAGGAAGAGAGGCAGCCCATCTGCTGGGGAAGGAAATCAGCGTAACACCAGTGGAGAAGGGGGGCAGGTGGGGGAATTGGGGAGGAGGCTCCAAGACTCTTCGCTGGAGACCAGCGGAGAGAGTACGGGTACTCCGCTGCCCACACCCTCCCTGCGCAGAAGACTTCCGTGCAGGGAGAGTAGGAGGAGACTTGGCGTCAAACAACTTTTATGCTGGAAAAGGTTTAAGAAACGCCCACTGACGGATTCTGCCAGCGACTGAGACAGTCACGATGCTGGAGGCTGTTCAGTCAGAAAGGGTTAACCAGGTAACCTAGCCAGGAGTGGCGGCAACTTACGCACGAGCAACCCCTAAACCCATTACAATATGGAAGAAGCAATACTGTCTGCTTCCTGTTTATAGAAAATGAGAACCTGGGCGCAGGGGAGGAGGAGATTATTTTCATGATTTCCTGAAACCTGTCAACAAGTTTTGTTGGTACTTTGGCATGGCAAACCAGAAAACAACATCAAGCTGGGCTGGCTTAGCACACATCCTGTTTGCAAAATGTGGGGTTTTCAAAGCACAGGAAGCACAAAACCTCTAGTTTCAGTTGTCTCGGACAGTCTATGACCCAGATTTGTCCTTTTTTAACTTCTCAGTTTCCTTTTTATTTTTATATTGATTTTCAGACAAACACAACACAGGAATCCCCTCTCCCTGCCGACAGATGAGTACAGCACTCCGTACTTGAAAAGGGATGAGTTAAAAGCTTGTCAAGTCCTATTGCCCAACAAATAAAAGTTTATTTCCACAAGTCACTTTGAGATGCTGGAACTCTTCTTTTGTCAAAACTGCATGAAATTTGTCTGATCTCTTACTGGGTTTTTTTTTATTTTCATATTTTCATTGTCAGTTTTCCCATAAGAATTAAATCCCACAATTGTTGAAACCATGTTTCCATCAAGTTAGTATTTAACTATCTCCAAACCTTAGCTATAGTTAGTCTTGTTGCTGTCATAAGATGAGTAATGAGATCTTTTGGAGTGAGATCTTGAGCTTCTGAGTCCTATATTGATTGAAATATTTCCAGGGAAATGTTTTGAGTAGGGTTCAGTTCATCCAACAGCACTGGGTTGGTTAGCAAGACCACCTTTGGGAAAGAGAACTCTGTTCCTGCAACAGTTAGCAGCATTTGTTTGGGTGATCCTCCTTAATAAATTTGTCCTTAAAATTAAACATCTTAATCTAATTTTTAGTTGTTTAGTTGCAATTCCAAAGGTCCAAGGGTCATGGGTTCTCCCTTAATAGATGCATTGGCAAATGTGGGAGGGGGAAGAAGAAAGGAAACCTATAATGTTCATCATTTCTACAAGTTACAGGATGTATCTGGCTAGTCCCACCTGCCCCATCAAGAAGCAGCTGGGGAGCAGGGGTGGGTTTTGAACTGGGTTGAATGGTGGGAAATCCTCTTTCTTCTGCTGCAGCCTATAGAAATCTAGGGGCCTGTCCAACATGGACCCGACCAATGTTTTCCAGCATTTGGTTCAGCCCTGACCGCCCTTTTTGCCACAATGTGTTACTCAGATTGCCTTGTTATGATGTGGTCGCTATGAATGCAGAGATGGCCCCCACTTCTCAGGGCCAGGAAAGGATGTTACCTGAGATCCCAACTGGTGGTTGGGATTTGCAGGGGTGAGGTTGCCTTCCTTATAGTATTTTTGTGGGCATATATAGTTACTCTGTTGCCCCTGCAGGGTGGTGGATTCTTCTATAACTATCCTACTCAGATGCAGGCAGAATCTTTAGTAAAGAAGGAGTAGGGATGGGCTTCATAATCCCTCACATTGTGAGAGGTCTCAGGGACAACAGCCGTGAGAGTGCCATCCACTTTCAGAAAGGTGGCCTCCTGTTCACCTTTCCAGCACAACCCAGCAGATAGACCCGGTCAAACTTTTTTCTCACAGCACCTGGGACGTGATCTTCGCTTGTGTCATGTGTATGTTGTTTTCCTCTGTCCTTGCCCTGCTCCCACTTGCTGGCACAAACGATAAACAACTCTGCATGGAGGTAATCAAGGAGGAGAGAAGATGGTATTTGTGAATTGAATGTAAATGACGTACAGACATATTTCAGCAATGTCTTTAATCCTTGTTCAATAGATTTATAAAAAGCCAAGAACAAAGGCATTAATTAGAATCAAAGAACAGGGCAGTTTTGCATTGTTTTGGATGTGAGGATTTCAATTGTGAAAAATAACTGTTGATGCTTAGCACATTTCTAAATATAAAAATCACTGCAGTACTTTTTGTTTTGATACTCTGGCTCTCGGCATAAGAAGAACAAACCCACTGTTTCTCAAGCAGGGACAAAATGCACACGATAAAAAGGAAATAATGATGAAGGGGTGTGAGTGAGTGAGAGTTTGTAAAATGGCTTTGGAATCAAATCCCTAACACCATCTGGTAAGATTATGGCAGTATTCAGATGATTTTTTCAAAATCTGGTGGCAGATTAATACTTTGATACTGACAGCACAATCCTACACAGAAGTAAGGCCATTAAGTTCAATGGGCCTTGCTCCACAGGTTAAATGTGTATAAGCCTGCAGCCTGACCATGCTTCTTTGCACATGTAAATGCCCACCCAGTATCCCATCATGAAATACACTTTCCCCAATCCAAATCCGGAATATGATTTGAAATGGCTACAGCAATTTTGGATTCTGCAATCATGGCCAGTCCTACCATTAGGCACAGTGAATTGGCTGCCTCAAGAGGCAGTTGCTGGGCAAGCAGCACCAAGACAGTGGAAGGCTGACCTACCAACCCTACATCCAGCCCCGCAATAGCCAGATGCCCTTAGCTGCAGAGGTGAACATCAGTGTTAAGTAAGATTTAACAGTCAGGCCAGTTGGCTTTTGTACATAAAATGATTGACACATCTCATCCCTTGACTCAGGTAGCAAAATGTCCTGGGTCAGCCCTGTCAACTGTGTTATAGCTGGGGGAGTGGGGTTCACACATTCTGTTTTTGGACGCAATACAAAAATGAATAGCTAGAAGATAATTGGGTAGCATTTTTGGCAATTCTTGGGAGTAATTGGCTGGATACAATGCGCTTTTATATCCAACACCATAAGCAGGCTTTCCATAAACAAAAGCCAGTTCTCTCTGATCTTCGTCTCTTTGGGAACTACTGCTACCCTTTGTTTTGAAGATATTCACTAGGGCATAGTTAGTAAGAGGGAGAATTTGAAGGCTGTGGTGCCACACCCATGCAAGAAGAACCAGTGTTTCTTCCTAGCACTTCTGCTTTTAAAATAGAAATAATGTGTAACTGGATTTATTAATTTTTAAAAATAAGCCTACTCATGGAAGAAGGAATTAACTCAAATTAAACTGCAGGGCCGGATTAACCATTTTGCTAAGTAAGCCAGGGCACAGAGAGCCCCAGTTGGCTTCAGAGTTAGTCAGAATCTATCCCACTGTAGAGGCAAAGGAGGAGAGAGCTGCCCAAAGCAGGCGGCATAGGAACCATACATTTAAAGCACTTTTTTGCCTCAAAGAATCCTGAGAATTGTAGTGTAAGGGTGCTGGGGTAAACTACAGTTCCCAAGATTATTGAGGTGTGCTTTAAATATTTGGTCTGTATGCAGCCAGATCTTCCACCTCCACACTCCAGCCACTGCCTAGCTTTAATCTTTGTACCAACATAGTTCTGCTAATGCCATGGTGAGGCCAGTGCAACTCTGAGCTAAAACTAACGAGGATCCTTCACACCAGCACATCTCTGGTTTCCTACAGCGCAAGTGGATTTCACAGCAATCTACACCTTGGTGCCTGCAAACGATGGGATTGTGCTGATATTGAATTAGCTCTTTAATCAAACAGCAAGGAATTTCATGCCTCGGAAAATAAATAACAGCTCCCTTCCTTCCTTTCTCCTCTCGGGATAAGTTTATTGTCACCCACCTATTAGGAAAGTGCATTTCTTTCCCTTTGTTTCAGTTTTAATGCAAAGGTTTATTTTACAACGATAGCCAACAGAAACAAAGCCAAACTTGTTTCAGCATGCCTTCTGTAAACAAAGGAGAAGCTGTTGAAAACGGGATGCGAAAAGGAAAAGGAAAAAAGAGCATTGAAGTCTGTCTGCCTCTCCATCTTTGCCACCACATTTTTCTTAAACATTTGGCATCCCGGCACAGTGTGAAAGAAAGTATTGTTCAACTTTCCAGACTGGTACTAAGGATAGCTGAGTCTGGGAAGGAAAGGGAAAAGATTCTAAAAGGATGGAAAGGTATGCTCTCCAGGTGTGTGTGTGTGTGTGATGGCACCACAAATACCATTTCACACATCACCCCCTGGCCTGTTCCAATTAAAGATTCACCTCTGGATTTTGCTTTTATTTGTTGCTATTGTTTTGGCAACCCTATATAGCAGAGGTGGGGGACATTTCTCAGCTCTCGAGGTCTACATTCTGTTCTTTGCAGCCTCTCCAGAGTCATGTCATGGACAAGGCCAGAGACAAAGATTGGGTGGCAAAATGTAAATGGTACCTTTGCACACGAGGACACGTTCTACACACACACTCCCACAGCCCTCTCTATCTTATCGCCAGCCAAGCAAGAGGCATTATCTGAGTTCAATGACACATCCTGGCCAGGCTCAGCAGGGACAATGGGGCATGTAGAGATGTGGGTATAGCCTTGGGAGAGTACCCGAGGGACAGGTAGAGAGAACTGGAGGACCATGTTTCATCCCAAGCCTGAGCTCCCTCACCCAAGCTATATAGTGTGTCTTTCAGGTGCCCTCCAGATGTTACAGATTACAATTCCCATCATCATGGGGCTGATGAGAGTTGTAGTCCAAAACAGATCTTGTCTGTCCCCAATCTATGTATTATACCATCATGTGATTCCGTCAGTTCAGTTTGAAGGCGAACTCCCAAAATTGTGCTGTGCTTCACTCTGCTTTTAATATGCACACACTACCTGTTGTGAATAATGCTGTTGGGTTGAACAAAGCAGTGGGGGAAATGGCTTTCTCCTGAGCTGGGAAATTTATTGTTGGCAACTATGCACAACAAAAGGCAGTTAGTTCTCGTAAGTCTCTTGAACGCGAATCACATCCTTCTGCTGTAGGGGTCAACATTTGACTTGCCCACTTATTGGAAATGAGTCATGCAGAACTCTGAGCAAACGACCATAAGGTTGGGCTATAAGTCTTAAGTTGAATGGCAAGCTGTTTGGATTTTGAAAGAAAGGACTGATGTGGCAGAAGGATTTAGCACTGCTTGCATGCATGTTTATTTCTGCACTCTACTAAAGTCAGCTCAACTTCTGCATTTGTAAATAAACCAAAAACCACATGCCTGCAGTGTTTCTTTCCTCTTTCTTTTTAATCTTTAAAAAAAGATGCAAATGTTTGAAAAAGAACAACTAAGCAAGCAAACATGCAGGTTCCCAGAGATTGCAGTTGCAGCACTCTTTCCTTGATCCTTCTGCTGCTGACCCACTCAGGGCTAAATTATGGTTTGGCTTGGCATTACGTCTGAACCCAGTCTTGTGGTTTGTCTGTCCCAAACAAACCAAGATCATTGCTAGGTTGAGTGACACAAACAATGAACCTGGGTTTGAACGTAATGCCAAGGCAGGCCATTGCTCTGCCCCCCATAGGGCAGCAGCAAGAGGGCTGAGGGAGGCATACTGCAGCTGCAATTCTATCTGCAACCTGCACATTCGCTTGTTTGCATTAACTCAGGGTTTAGCTTAGAGTTGCATGCAAACTGGGCTATTGGGTATCAGCTTACTCAGCTCTGCTGTTCCTTCCACATCAAGTTCTACTCAAGTAGCAGCAAACATACCAGTGCAATTATCTACTGCATAAAGCAGGGTGTATCTCTTTCTCTTGTTAATCAGTTAACCTTGGCTACAACATCAGTATTTTATGCCTGACACCTGAAGCAGGGTGGGCTTAGCATAGCTGGCTTATTTTAGGAAGGTCTAGCCTCCTCGACAGAGGACGAGATGGTTGGACAGTGTTCTCGAAGCTACCAGCATGAGCTTGACAAAACTGCGGGAGGCAGTGGAAGACAGGAGTGCCTGGCGTGCTCTGGTCCATGGGGTCACGAAGAATCGGACACGACTAAATGACTAAACAACAACAGCCTCCTCTGTCCCTTATCTTCTGGCGAAACAACTTGTGTAACAAGGGGATTTTGAAAGAGTACCATGCAGTTTGTTCAATTCAGTTCCTACAGAATTAAACCCAGGCTAGATTATTTTAAGTCTGCAGGAATCAGCAGTGAGGTTTTCTCATGTGACTTACTGATTGAAAGTTAATTGCAATAATATGTTTTTCAAAAATAAATAAATCCTGGCAGTTCTAAACTGTAGTGCGACAGGTTTCAAAAGCAACTGTTTGGCTACACAACTGATCTCCTATGTCATATCTAAAAAGAACTTAATCTAGTTCTCCGATAAAGAAAACAATGCCCGACCTGAAGAATTTGGAGCAAATGTTTCAGCAGAGGAAACACAGCCCAGAAGAACTAAGGAGATAGTACAAGAATACTTGGCTAGTTTAGATATATTCAAGTCTCCAGGGCCAGATGAACTGCATCCAAGAGTATTAAAAGAACTGGCAGATGTGATCTCAGAACCACTGGCAGTCATCTTTGAGAATTCCTGGAGAACAGGCGAAGTCCCGGCAGACTGGAGGAGGGCAAATGTTGTCCTTATTTTCAAAAAGGGAAAAGAGAGGACCCAAATAATTACCGCCCAGTCAGTCTGACATCAATACCAGGGAAGATTCTGGAGCAGATCATTAAGCAAACAGTCTGTGAGCACCTAGAAAGGAATGCTGTGATCACCAATAGTCAGCATGGATTTCTGAAAAATAAGTCATGTCAGACTAACCTGATCTCGTTTTTTGATAGAATTACAAGCCTGGTAGATGAAGGAACGCAGTGGATGTAGCCTACCTTGATTTCAGCAAGGCATTTGACAAGGTGCCCCATGATATTCTTGTAAAGAAGCTGGTAAAATGCGGTCTTGACTATGCTACCACTCAGTGGATTTGTAACTGGCTGACTGACCGAACCCAAAGGGTGCTCATCAATGGTTCCTCTTCATCCTGGAGAAGAGTGACTAGTGGGGTGCCACAGGGTTCTGTCTTGGGCCCAGTCTTATTCAACATCTTTATCAACGACTTGGATGATGGACTCAAGGGCATCCTGATCAAATTTGCAGATGACACCAAACTGGGAGGGGTGGCTAACACCCCAGAGGACAGGATCACACTTCAAAACGACCTTGACAGATTAGAGAACTGGGCCAAAACAAACAAGATGAATTTTAACAGGGAGAAATGTAAAGTATTGCACTTGGGCAAAAAAATGAGAGGCACAAATACAAGATGGGTGACACCTGGCTTGAGAGCAGTACATGTGAAAAGGATCTAGGAGTCTTGGTTGACCACAAACTTCACATGAGCCAACAGTGTGACGCGGCAGCGAAAACAGCCAATGCAATTCTGGGCTGCATCAATCGGAGTATAGCATCTAGATCAAGGGAAGTAATAGTGCCACTGTATTCTGCTCTGGTCAGACCTCACCTGGAGTACTGTGTCCAGTTCTGGGCTCCACAGTTCAAGAAGGACACTGACAAACTGGACCGTGTCCAGAGGAGGGCAACCAAAATGGTCAAAGGCCTGGAAATGATGCCTTATGAGGAACAGCTAAGGGAGCTGGGCATGTTTAGCCTGGAGAAGAGGAGGTTAAGGGGTGATATGATAGCCATGTTCAAATATATAAAAGGATGTCACATAGAGGAGGGAGAAAGGTTGTTTTCTGCTGCTCCAGAGAAGCGGACACGGAGCAATGGATCCAAACTACAAGAAAGAAGATTCCACCTAAACATTAGGAAGAACCTCCTGACAGTAAGAGCTGTTCGACAGTGGAATTTGCTGCCAAGGAGTGTGGTGGAGTCTCCTTCTTTGGAGGTCTTTAAGCAGAGGCTTGACAACCATATGTCAGGAGTGCTCTGATGGTGTTTCCTGCTTGGCAGGGGGTTGGACTCGATGGCCCTTGTGGTCTCTTCCAACTCTATGATTCTATGATTCTATGATTCTAGTTTTCTGGATCAGTTTTTACAGACCCTTGCCATCTTTCTTACTAATAATAAGCTTTTTGATAGAAAATCAGATGATATGCTATCTCTAAAAATATTCAGGCAGATACACCACCATTGTCTCCTCAGCTATTATCAACCTGCCAACTCAGGGGGAGAAATCCAAAAATTGCAATATTGAGGATCAATCCATAAAAATATCTCTCTCCCCCTGTCTGTGTAGAGGGGGAGGAATAAATTTCTAAATTCAGTATGGGTGGTATTTTAAACCTGTGTCTAAACATTAAGTATCAGAAAACAGAAAACATTTCAGAGAAGTTTTAAAAAGTTATTGGATTAAATATATGTTACCCACAAACATGCAATGATATATAACAGCAATATAGCAATGGACATAGCATTGGGGTGACAGTGTGGTGCAGTGAATAGAATAGATGATATGGATATGGGAAAATGTTGGCTTCAAACATTCTGATCTCATATATAGTATTTACCTGGTGGTTTGGGGCAAGTCATGATCTCTCACGAAACTGTAGAACATTAAAAAAAAAATCAGGCAATGTGGTGAACATGATGCCTGTGATGTTTCTTTCATGCCTGCAAGTCATGACTTGATGTTGCAGCCTTGCCCTCACTTTCATCTTGATGTTACCCTGCCTTACTTTTATTTCCATTTAAGAATAGTGTGTAAGAGATTAAAGAGCCTTCCTTTATTTTTAAAAAGTATAAAGATTAATGGGGAGAACGGAAGAGCTTGATTACTGCTGGGAACAAACTGTAATTTTCAAGGACTACATATTTAAAATATCATTGTCCCTGATCACCAGCAGCCTGGTGATGGGCTAATATTTTGGTTGTGCTATTCTGCACTGATACTAACATCTTCTTTTATAAATCACAGGTCAGTTGACAAAGAGATTAGAAAATGCTCCAGCATGTGCCAAACATCTTTAATCCCCTTACTTGTCAAAGAAGATAAAGGTGTTTGGGGGCATGGGTCCAGAAACTGTAAAGAAACTCAAAGAAAGCAGGAAGTCAAACATCTATTTTTAAAGATCCCCCCCCCTCCAGTTTCACCATGAAGGGAAATACATCAAGATTTGCAAGGACTCTCACTTACACAACCTGTGCAACTTTTGAAAAGGGACTCTGAAATGTAATGCCTTGAAATTTAGAACATTTAGCTTGGCTCTGTTTTAAAACTTTTGCCCCAACTCTATTCACTGGTGCTTTCCCAGTTGTTGATGTGATTTTTCTTCCTTACATACTATCATTCCTTCGTCAGGCAAGTTTATAAGAGAAAAACACAAAGAAACTCATCCTACATGAAGGGTGACACAAGGCGGAGGCACTCTACATATAGCCCCATCTCTTTTACATACAAATTTTACCGTGCTCCTTTTCCTTCCCACATGGCTGTCCAGGTTTCCTCGTAACCAAGGTTTTCTGTTCACCCGCTTCTTACTCTGATTTCAAATCCTAGTTTAGGGGGATTTGGGTTTTTGGCTTTTTTAAATAACCTCATATATTGAAAAGAGAATCAAACTTATTTCTACATTTACTTGAAACAAGGACACCATCTCACCTTCTTAACTCCTACACATCATCTTCTTAATTATCTGTAATGATGCTTTTAAAATGTTCTGATCTAATGTTGGTTAATGAGCAAAAGCTGAGACTTCTGCAGTTTTTGCAGCAAACACCATGGTAATCTCTTTCTTTTCTTAAGGCCTCATCCTCTCAACTCCATCTATTACCCCCCATTATCTCAATTCAGCTATCAGTTGTATCACCTAGTCTGTTAGGTATTTAGGGCAAGACCATCTCCTTTCATTGTTTGCTGGTCTATACAGAAGTTCCTGTTGTTGTTGTTGTTGTTGTTTAGTCGTGTCCGACTCTTTGTGACCCCATGGACCAGAGCACGCCAGGCACTCCTGTCTTCCACTGCCTCCCGCAGTTTGGTCAGACTCATGTTTGTAGCTTCGAGAACACTATCCAACCATCTTGTCCTCTGTCGTCCCCTTCTCCTTGTGCCCTCCATCTTTCCCAACATCAGGGTCTTTTCCAGGGAGTCTTCTCTTCTCATGAGATGGTCAAAGTATTGGAGCCTCAGCTTCATGATCTGTCCTTCCAGTGAGCACTCAGGGCTGATTTCCTTAAGAATGGATAGGTTTGATCTTCTTGCAGTCCATGCGACTCTCAAGAGTCTCCTCCAGCACCATAATTCAAAAGCATAAATTCTCCAGCGATCAGCCTTCTTTTTGGTCCAGCTCTCACTTCCATACATCACTACTGGAAAAACCATAGCTTTAACTATATGGACCTTTGTTGGCAAGGTGATGTCTCTGCTTTTTGAGATGCTGTCTAGGTTTGTCATTGCTTTTCTCCCAAGAAGCAAGTGTCTTTTAATTTCATGACTGCTGTCACCATCTGCAGTGATCATGGAGCCCAAGAAAGTAAAATCTCTCACTGCCTCCATTTCTTCCCCTTCTATTTGCCAGGAGGTGATGGGACCAGTGGCCATGATCTTTGTTTTTTTGATGTTGAGCTTCAAACCATATTTTGTGCTCTCCTCTTTCACCCTCAATAAAAGGTTCTTTAATACCTCCTCACTTTCTGCCATCAAGGTTGTGTCATCTGCATATCTGAGGTTGTTGATATTTCTTCCGGCAATCTTAATTCTGGCTAGGGATTCATCAAGCCCAGCCTTACCTGAGGCCTAATCCCCAATTAGTTTAATCTGTGAAATAAGTGATATTTTTTAAACCCAGTATGTCTTTGCTGACACAGCTCTTACAGACCTTAAACATATTCAGGTACATGTGACATAAAGCCCCCCACAAAAATCCAAAAAATGTTACATCTTGAGTATCTCTTCCTGCGATAGCAAAACCCCTCATTCATTTAACACATCACAATTGATAAAACACACTCAGTTGTGTGCTTCTGAAAAGCAACATCAGAGAAGGGGCTGCAGTGGAAGCAGCATCAGGAAAAAAACTCTTTTCCCCATAATTGGTAATGGACACCCTGACCAGCATTATGAGTTTATATCTAACTTGAGGTGGTGGGGGTTGTACAAAAATCTGCAGTGCACAAACTCAAGAACAATGTCTGGTTTTTTCCTTCCTTGACTTTCAGCTTTCTCCAAACAAAGAGATTAAGACTTGTGTTTGCTTCATAGCTTTATAATGACCTTCATGACACAAAAACCAGGATGCCAGAGTTTTGGAGCCTAGATATACACAATGCTGTCATTCCACTAGACAAAAGCGTTTGGAACGTTCATCGGCGTCTCCTCTCAAGTATCATTCCAGGACGGTGCAAATTTTATATGCTGCAGTTACGCTTCCCGGTGGCTGTTCCAAGTCATTCGGCTTCATTAGCTCCTACCTTTGCGATGTTTACCAAGCTGCGAGGAAACAAACATGGAGGGTCAAATCCTGCATCGGCGTAAAGGACACGTGGCCCCATCGCTCTCAAGCAATTTCTGTACTGTGACACCGGCAGCTAATTTGACCCAGAATGAATAACTCAGCAAAGGATGATTACGTCTTCCTGTAAATAAAGAACATCTGGCAAAATGTTCCCATTCAGAGCTATTAAGCATGCAGAGCTTAGTGACATTTGTGTGCAGCCCCTACCTATAAACACTGTCTCTTGCCACTGGGTTTGAAAAGTGGACTGCCTGGATTCAAAAGCAACTCCCAGGAAAGTTGGATTCTGTCTCCAGGCAGTGCCTGTCTTACACAATGTTGTTTATAGCATTAAGATTCCACCCCCACCCCCAGGGTCTGTATGAGGAAATGGCCTGGTGTCATTTAAGTAGCTGTCAAACCACACCAATTTGCAACCGTCTTTTTAAAAACCTCCAAAGAAAATGTTTAGTTAAATGAGCATTAAGTGGTTTCCAAAGGTAACATGTTGGTTACACAAGAGATCTAATTTCTCACAGCTCCTCAGCCAACCTGTGCACTTGATTTTAGACTCCATGAGTTCACAGTCTGTGAAGTCATCCACAAAACTGGAAGATTCCCAGGGGGATTATTTAAATTTGATCCTTCCTCCTCCATAAATCTGCACTGTGACTATGAGGTATTGACAATGCCTTTGATGTTTTGGAGTGTACAGGGCACTGGAGAGGGAGCTGCTTGTGAATCAGTCCAGCACAGCATCAACATTTCTTTCCTGCCTTTCCATCCAATTCTAGGTCCTCCTCAGCATGCATAATTTGAAACCAGCCAGCATAACAGAACAATTAAAACCTGAATCTGAGGCTGAAGAAGGAAAACAGTCTTTATAGGTTTCCTAAAGGCCAGAAGGGATCCATCAATGAATGAGGGTCTCGGCACAAGGCCAACAGCATTCTGCAAAAAAGGGCATCACCACTAAAAAGGCCCTAGTCCTTACAGATACCAGCATTGCTTCTTTACCCGGGCATGGAAAAAGTGGGTAGTGCAAAACACAAAGGAAAAAATTAAAAAAATAAATTAAATTAAAAATAAGTTTCCTTTCAGCATAGTACATTACAGGTCCCCCACCAATGGCTTAATGGTTGGGGTGTGGAAAAGGGGGCCTGGCCGCCTCACAGCAGGTTTTACTGCAGACTGGACTCTGCCCAATCTCAGAAGCACTCTGCCTTTAGTGGCAAATGGGGCAGGGGTGGGTGGGAGAATAAGGTGAACAAAACAGGTAAGCATCGTGATTAAAAACTAATACATACAATGTGACACCATGACGACCCACTTCCTCCAAAAGTGGAAGGTGGGTGGTGCTGCATAGGATGCACAAGTTAGGATGTTTCCAGGGTGCCTGGTAACCAAGGAATCCAGCAGAGCACCGGTAGCAACCACCATGGTAACAGCTACGAATGCCTCCAATTCCCACTGAAAGCAGCAGGGCAGAGAAATAGGTGCCCAAATTAAAAGTGCTTCTCGGAAGGTTCATGGGAGCTTAGTCAGGGTAAGGACTCAGACACCGCAGCTCTAAAGGAAACACGAAAGTATAACCACAGAGAGTAAATAATTGACAGATCCAGTTGAAATGTGGGCAGAGTTTGAGGTCAATGGCCTCTCAGGCCAAATTGGGTGGGCCACATAGCTGAAGTTCTGGAACAGGTGTTACAAGAAGATGAGCAAATCAACCTGGCCACTTCACATGCTATAAAATCCCCCCATTGATAGTACTTCTATGCAGGAATAAACATGAAATGTGTTTGTTGATTTTAATATCTGGAACATGCTATATATGCTGGAAATATATCTATATATCTATATATAAATCCTACATGTGTTCATCTCATTTTATAATCCATGCAGGGGCTTCATGTAAATTTCTATAAAGATGTGCCTTTTATTATCAATTATTATAATTATTCCTGTTGTTATTATAACGTATTTGAGAAACTATTTACTACCATAGTACCCAAAATATTATGGCATGTGAGGCTGAGGGAGCAGTATTCCTTGGCTATTGAGTTCTGTTGCTTACCGGGTCGCCAGTGTCACCATCTAGAATGTTGTCATAGTTCTATCATCCCTGACCATTGGCCTTCCTGACTAGATCTGAGATGTGCTAAGAGTCCAACATAATCTGGAGGGCACCACATTGACTACTCCCAGCTGAGTCTGTTACTGGCTTGGAGAACCTTTTCAAACAGATTGGAAAGGTGCAAGGGTCATGTTTGCTTGACTTATGGCACACCATTCTTGTCTATATTTATTGATGTCAGTCCTGAATGTTGATGAAGCTGGCCCACACCCTTTAGATTCCACAAGCTCTGGACAATGTGGTCCATTGATGTCATAGTTGTGTCTTGAAAAAGAAGGGAAGACATACCCAAGCGTCATACCTAGAATTTCAGAGTGTGAAGTTTCAAAACATTGATTTCACTTTCCTAATGTCCACAATCTTGAGTGCTTTATTATGGAGACTGTTTCACATTTCCTGAATATCAGGGCACTGAACAAAATAACGTGGGCTTGTTATCCCAACCTTCTAGTTCCAACACGATAAATACTGGAATTCCTTCTTTTCTACTGCCCGTTATCTCTCTTCAGGTTCAATTTCACACTTCTGATTTTGAAGACTGTCCGTTCCGTTCTACACTTCCATCTCCACTTTTCCACCTCAGAGATCATATCCTGCAATGTAGCAGCACACCAGTGACCCCATTACAGGATCACAGATTCGTTGGAAAAAGTGTAACCTAGGATTAAGCTTCCTTTTCCAGAGGAATTTATCACCATAATATTGATTAAGAGCCTTATGCATGTTAACTGAGAAGTTGCACTGATTTCAGTGGCATTTAATTCCAGGGAACTTTTTGTAGAAGCCTGAGGGAATCATTTCCTCCTCCAACACTGCTATTGTTAAAAGTGCACAGGGAGGTGACACATTCACCAATTTAACATCCCATCTGTTTGGGCCATAAATTTCTGATACTCGTACCCTGGCTTAATCAAAACATCCATGAAACACTTGCACTTTGGAAAGAAATACAGTTCCCTGCAAAAAAAAATGGCAAGGAGGAACTTTTTTGAATTGCATGATAAGAACATAAAAGCAAATGGTGTTTCTTGGTATGTGAAGCAGAATAATAATAATAATAATAATAATAATAATAATAATTTATTATTTATACCCCACCCATCTGGCTGGGCTTCCCTAGCCACTCTGGGCGGCTTCAAAAAATATATATCAAAATACTGTAATACATTAAACATTAAAAGCTTCCCTAAATAGGGCTGCCTTCAGATGTCTTCTAAAAGTCTGGTAGTTGTTGTTCTCTTTGACATCTGGTGGGAGGGCGTTCCACAGGGAGGACGCCACTACCAAGAAGGCCCTCTGCCTGGTTCCCTGTAACTTGGCTTCTCGCAGTGAGGGAACCGCCAGAAGGCCCTCGGTGCTGGACCTCAGTGTCCGGGTAGAATGATGGGGGTGGAGACACTCCTTCAGATATAATGGACCGAGGCCGTTTAGGGCTTTAAAGGTCAGCACCAATACTTTGAATTGTGCTCGGAAACGACCTGACAGTCAGTATTGGACAATGTGTTGGGACAGTCACAGAGCTGCCCTCCAGATGCTACAGATAAGCTCTGCAACTGACACCAGCACAAGCGCCAGGCTGGCTGTACTGAGGCCCTGACCCCATCCAGGTGAGCTGTAATGATGCCAGTGTTGGGAAAGCATCTCTGTGGCTCTGCCCAACCACATTAGCCACTATTGTAGGTAGTTAGGAATGTGCTGTATTCTAAAGTCAGAGCATTGGTTTGTCTGCTTATCTGTTTGCAGTATTTTATAGGCCACCCTGTACCAGAGTTCTCAAGGCAGTTGTTAGCAAGACAGAAGACAATTTATCAGTCAATAACAATAAAAGTATAAATACAGCATTCCAGAGGAAAAACAGCATAAAAATGAAGGGTGCCTCCAGACAGCCACTATTTTGCAGTAAGGATTCGAGTGTGCACTTCAGGTGTGCACATTTTAAAAGGATTACAGGGCTCTGTTACCTTTGTGCAACAAATCCACTTTTCAAAAAAATAGACTTTGTGTTGGAAAGTGATGCGGAAATGCATTGGAACTTTTTTATGCAATTGGGTGGAACTTTATTACATATATTAACAGCAACAATCTACAATTGAGGTCTGGAATACTTGCTTCATTGTACTTTTGAGTTTTAATTTTAGGTACAGATCTATGCTTTTGAAATGTGTTTTTGAATGTTTTCTTTGTCCTCTGTGTTTTCTACCTTTGTAACGCTTTATTTAGTTATTCATATAACAAAAATAAAAATTGTAAAACATTATAGTATGAGCAAATGATTATTGGGAAGATGTGTAAACACCCCACAAGCATATCAGGGTGAATGCAAGAAAAATACTCCTTGTCATATAACCACCCTGTAAACACATCAGAACAAATGCTTAATATTAGTGGCAATAATAAAGAAAAGTTCCAGGGTGGCAACAGAAAGCAAACTAAAAATGCTTTTGCAGTTCGTCAAAACTATCCAGCAATATCAAGTTATAGCAAAACTGGTGCTGTTAACAGTAATCCTTCTAGTTGGTTGGTAATTGGTTCAGCAACTTCCATGCACATGACGTGTGATGCTAATTATTTCTCCCAAGAGTTAAATAACTAATCAGAGGCAGCTACAGTTGCAAATGGCAACAAAATATCTATGAAAGGAAGAAGAGCAGGTTTGCTCAAGTGTGTTGCAGGTAGAAATACTGTTTGTATTGAAGTGAGAGCAGTAGGTTACTTGCTCGAATTAACAAATAAGAAAGTTTTGATAATTTTAATTCTAGATTAAAATGGATTACTTAATTGAGAAGGGGATTTTAACAAAAACACTGGGGCCTAATTTGAATAGTAGAGTGCCTGGTATCTGGTGGGCAATCTCATCCTTTATTTCCACACTGTGACTTCAGACCAAATCACCTGTCAGGAGAGTTATGAGATTCAGGTGAGGGTCAGATGCCATGTCAATCCCAGCAGGTATATAAGAGGCCTTCGCCCTGCCCTTTAACAATAATATCTTATGTCCTTTAGAGGAGAAATTGTGAATTGTAGAATTTTAAATACCCGTCATCATCCTTGGCTTCACTCAATTTTGTTTATAACACTCTTCCATTTTCTTCTAGTTGTGAGGGTGGGTGATAGAGAGGGGCCTCACAAGTGGAGTAGCCTAGGGACTCTCTTCATCTAAAGCCGGCCCTGCCTATAGCCAATCAAAAGCCCTGGGGAAATAAAACATATATTTGCCTGATTCTGAACTGACATCAAGGAGTGCACCAGGCAAGCCTCACTGGGGAAGGTTTTCCATAGCCAGGGTGCCATCACTGAAGAAGCCCTCTCTCCTAAAGTCATCTGCCAAAGCTGTTCAGAGGAGGCACTTGTGTAGGGGTCTCCACAGATGTTTCCTTGTATTACAAAGTCAAAAGGTGTGTGGCAGCTGCTTTTCCAAGAGTCACTCAGAGGTCTTTCCAACCCAGCATTCCAAGGTGCATTGTTAAGTACTTTCTGTATACAACACATATGGTCTAACACTGAGTAATGTCTTACATTTCAGCAGTGATGTGGAAATTAATCTGCACATTGCTTCACTAATTATTCCGTGTCTTTGCTCTTACTGCCAAAGGTTATACAACAAGCTAGCTGGTAGAAAGCAGTTTCTTCAAAGAAGATCTCCAAACAAGCATATTGATAGGTTTATAGATTACTGTTGTGAAATAAATACTTTTTGTGTATTATTATAGGCACACCCTTCTTAATTTATATTTCCCAGCCTTGGCATTCAAAACTGATTCTTGGGTTCCTGCTAATGTGAGGTTTGACTCACCGTGCACCAGATAGCAAGCCTACCTGGTTGTTCTGGTTATGAAGGAAAGGAAAATATTTGCCAGTATCAGAGGCTTTTGCCCAAGACAGAAATTTCAGTACCTTGATTGAGGGATTCTGGTGTTTTGCACTGAGATGGGTCCTGAATTGTTCAAGGATTAATTTAGTAAAGTCTTAGACTTCATGAGCCCAATGCACAGATTCGTATTTCATCATTCTTAATCCATTAAGATCAATAGGACTTGAGCTGCTTGGAAGTAAACTAGCTCACTGATTTCAGTGGGGGCAAGTAGAACTGTAACTGCAGCTCCAGACCCACTTATATGGGAGACTTCTTCATGAGAAACATGCAGAAATTTGTGTTGTGAATTTCCTACAATAGGGCATCAAAGGCAATACCTCAAAGGTGAAAATTTAATAGTTTCCAGACTTTGGAGACCATTCTTTCCATATTTTTATCTCAAATAGGACCTTGTTTTAATTTTTGCTACATATATGCAATACTACAAAGCTATCAGCTGAATTTTTGGAACATGCATACTGACAGCCAGTGTAGTTCACATCACTCGGTTTGGAATGGAAGAAAGTCAGAGTCACGTATGAAGGAGGGATACATGGATGGATCAATCTATTTTTATTGTAGGTCAGTTTTGCAAAGTTTGGCCCTCCAGATGTTGCTGAACTACAACTCCCATGAGCTCCAGCCAGCATGGCCAATGGCCAGAGACGGTGGATGCTATAGTCCAGCAACATCTGGAGGTCCAAAGGTTCCACACACCTGTGCTAAATCATAGGTTTGTTCCATCACATTTTTTCTGAAAACTTTGTTTTTAAATGGTATGCACTTTCCCCTAAAGTACACATTTTGTATCTATTCCACTAAAATACATATTTTAGCATGCACTTTCACCTGTATCTATATATGGACCAGAATGCAACTGGATTAGGCAAGCCTCCAAATTTCAGTTCATAAAATGTGCAGAACAATGCATATTTTAGGTGAAAATGCATGCAAAACATGTATTTTAGTGGAAGAATGGATACAAAATGTGTACTTTAGCCCAGTGCTCTACAGGCCTTAGTGGTGTTCCTCTTTAAAACACCTGAGAATTATACAGTTATGTTTAGCTGGGGGAAAAAGAAAGCATAAGATATAATATGTGATCTGTTTCATTCTCTCCCCACCACCATCATGGATGGCTGTGAAGCTGGTCATTCTGAGAGCAAAGGTTATATTGCAAATATATCTGATCTGACAGAGAAGGAACACGGAATAAAACATGTCAAAACTGATGGAAAACAGCCAATCACAGACTGGATAGCATAGTTTGACCCTTAATGGGGTTCAAATTAAATCTGTACAGTTTTCACTCTCATTATAAAAGAAATATAGGATTAATTTTAATTAAGTGAAATTAAATGCATCTGTTTACTTTGTAGTGCAGTATGTTTTAGGTTGAAAAAACCAATAATGGGCTTGTGGGAGTCAAAAGCCAAGGAAATGTGACTTTAAAAAAAATATTTTGCAGGTGGGGTTGCTACTTTTGTTACTGGCCATAGGTCACAATATATTGCTACTTGGACAGTCTAACGACATAGAATAATTTGTTTTTCTATTTGCACTGTTACAGGCTTTTTGCATCTGGACTTTGTGGTGTTATCTGCCTTTCTATTTTCTATTCATTATCCAACATGTGAAATGCATTAGTTGTTGGGGAGTACCAGCCATTTTCAGACATACTAAGCATTCAACTTTGTTTTGTTTTGTTTTGGGCTGATTTCTCGAAGTCTGTAAACACTTACAATTGATAAATTAATAACTAGTAATCTCAGCCCTCCAGGGATATATGGAACAATAGCTGAGGGAAGTTACGGTAATCTATTAATTCACTGGTCTATCAAATCCCATCTTATCCCGTTTACTATATGTAAACCCCAAGCGTCTACTTTTCAGCTCAGTCTGTTGCTTCTCTCTAATCACACTTCCGTGGGAAGAAGTTGCATGGAAATCAATGTGAAGTGTTTCTACAAGTGACATGCAAATACCTCTAGGAAAAGTTCCACAACAGAAAGTGCCAGTTAGACTAGTTTTTACAACTTTAGTGATGAAGTTGTATGGCAAAATGATCAGTGCCATAGTCATCTTTACACTCTTGACTGGGGTCAACACTCCTCATGCTATAACAGCAATGATTATTATTATTTTAAAAAATATCTGTGTACCATAAATTGGGGTGGACACAAATTTGAGTGAGTCATTGGCCAATTTCAGGTGGATCAACTAGTTCCTGTGGGCTACTTGGAATTTTGCAAATAATTCTAGTTTGCAAGAGCTGGGATAGCTCAGTCAGTAAAGCATGAGACTCTCAATCTCAGGTTCGAGTCCCACATTGGGTGAAAAGGGGGTTGGACTAGATGACCCTTGTGGTCCCTTCCAATTCTGCAATTCTATGATTCTATAATCCTGCAAGACACTTCTTTTATTTGTAAGGAAGACTGTATACCGTGGATCACTTAAAAGAGATTAGTTCTGCCTTAACTATTACATTATCCTGAATAAGCTTTCTTGATTTGTAAATCAAAAACACAGGTTGTCTAGTAAAAGAAGAAGAAGAAAAAGAACATTATGCAAGACATATCAGCTGTGCACAAGACCCTCTAAATAGGCTGTAGCACATTTAATCTTTGTGTTACTGCAAGCTAAAATGGTTATTTTTCTGGAGTATACCTATTTCGTATATCTGCTTAAATATGTGACAGCAATATCCTCAAAAGAATGTTGGCATACTTGGGAAAAGCAAAAAGATGAAGACATTCCAAGGTCCAGATTTATGACTCTTAAATCAGGAACATTATTGCATGGTATGTCCCAGAACAGAAGATCCTGACACCACAATCACACCAGTGACTCCATTAATCTGCAGTGAAGATTATGTGGCTCAGGGTGAGCTCACGCATTCATGCCCATCACTCAATGACTTCAGCTTCCGTCTACAAAACATAACAATGAACACAATACATGGAAACAGTTCACAAGTCCAGCTGTAAGAGTAATAGTCAACGAAGTTATGTTGAGAGTAGACCCAAAGAAATTAATCACCCTTAGTCATGTTTATTAATTTCATAGTGTCTACTCTGAGTAAACCTTTGCTGACTACCACCCATAGTCATCAAGTGTTGTGATATCAAGTAAAGGTAAAGGGACCCCTGACCATTAGGTCCAGTCGTGGCTGACTCTGGGGTTGCGGTGTTCATCTTGCTTTACTGGACGAGGGAGCCAGCGTACAGCTTCCGGGTCATGTGGCCAGCATGACTAAGCCGCTTCTGGCGAACCAGAGCAGCGCACAGAAACGCCGTTTACCTTCCTGCCGGAGCGGTACCTATTTATCTACTTGCACTTTGATGTGCTTTCGAACTACTAGGTTGGCAGGAGCAGGGACCGAGCAACAGGAGCTCACGCCGTTGCGGGGATTCGAACCACCGACCTTCTGATCGGCAAGTCCTAGGCTCTGTGGTACCAAGTAGGATACATTTAATGTAGCAACTTTGTCAATTTCAGTCTCTCTCCATTACTTATTTTTCCAATCTTGAATTGATTTTTCCACATTTGCTCATAACTAGTGGTGTTGTTATGTGCTGTTTGTTTGTTTTTTTATCCTCATTAAAATATGTCAGCATTTTACTGCTAATTTCTCCAAATATACACATTTTTGCAAGTTCGCCCAGAATAATGCAGGTTTCTTTCCACAATTTTCATTAATATATGCATTTCATACACACTTTGTTTAGCTGGAGAATTGTGTCTTGGTTCACACATCGGTCTGAGAAGTGCAAATAGGGGCCTTATCCACACTTCCTCTTGTCCTGCTCCTTTCCCCTGGGGAAAACTGCTCTTTAGTGCTCAATTGAAGCAAACAGCAATCAGGTTTCCCACATATTGCCATTTGTTCTAGTTTAAAGCTAAAGAGTGGGTTTTCCCTGGGAATGGAGTGGGGCAAGGGGAAATCCACTGGACCAGGCATCCCCAAACTCGGCCCTCCAGATGCTTTTGGCCTACAACTCCCATGATCCCTAGCTAGCAGGACCAGTGGTCAGGGATGATGGGAATTGTAGTCTCGAAACTTCTGGAGGGCCAAGTTTGAAGAAGCCTGCACTGGACCCATGCTTTCTGGGTGCAGGGCAAGTGAAGTGTGGAAGAGCCTCTATTTGTACTTCTTGAACCGATTTCTCCCACAGTCCAAGAAAAGCATATGGAAAAAATATGGAATTTGAGGGCTCTGGTGGGAATGCACCTGGAGCAGTGTAGAATGCAGTGAAAGAACTAGCCACTCTTTCTCTGATTTCCAAATGGACATGACCTGTATAATATGTATAGTTTTTCCTTACATCTATGAAAGATAAAAAGAAAAGGATTCTGGGATTCTTAGTCCCCTCTGCTTGAATAGGCACCATTGATATGCAGAATACTCTGGAAGAAAATTGTTAAAAGGCAGAGTCAACAAAACATACCACGAAATTGAGGGCAGAGGAGAGCTGAGATAAATAAAAAAAGGTTAGGTAGATTTGCCCTGTTTCTGAGGGCAACCCCAACCTTTGTCCCTTCTTTGCTATTTCCTGTTTTGTTCTGGACCCTCTTTGGCCTTTCTTAGCGTTGTGTGTTTTGACTATGTGACCACTTCACCTCTTTCCCACAATGTAGCAACTGGGAAATGGACTGAAATGGGACAATTAGCCATTTGAATCGCAGCAAATACCTCAGGTCAGAGGAGCACCATGCTCCCATTCACATAATATTTGAAATAACATGAATTACAGTTCAGCTGCCTCCATTTCAAGGGCTTGGTAAAGTGGGCATGCAACAAAACCTGACTCTGTTGTCATGACAGCAAGGGTCAGCATCAGAGAATGGGGTCATGTTTAATGCTCTAGAAAATGAGTGAGGGCATAAAATCCAAGTGGACATGAAAACAGAAAGGTGACGTAAACCACAATAGCAAATCAGTGTTACCCCTGCAGATGTAAACTACGTCAGGCTGGGGGATCTAGACAAAATGTCTCGTAATGGAAACAAAAGGTTCACCTGTAACTTTGAATGGAGGAAATGTCATAAATAAATAGTGCTATGAGTTTGCTTTCTCACGTGTGTGACTGGATCAGTCACTTTTGGTTTGTCCTAATGTGTCAACTGATTAGAGTTTGGGATCTAAAAAAAGGATTGTAGTTCATTTAATGCAGCACTGAGGGACCTGGCTCTCCAGATGTTGTTGGACTTTGGGCCCCATCAGCTCCGGTCTTCGTGGTCAATAGGGATGAAATGAGTTAAAGTAGTCCAGCAGGGACTACAGAGTTTGCAGTCTTACACCCCACTTCTTAATGTGGATGGTGAGTGGGCAGTTCACCTGCAGAAGTAGTGTCTGTGATGAGTGTTTGACAGATTGCGAAACCATCTGAGAAACAACAGTTTTGTATCTTCAGTCAAAGAGAAATAGACAAGGACAAAGAGGAAATGACTGCTGAAAGTGAAGCACCTTTGATCGTCTGTCTAGGGCCATGGTTCCTAACTTCAGGCACAGGGGGGCAATTTGATTTTTAACAGGGGCAATTTGGGAATGACTTATTAACAGTGAATGGTCTTTTAGGCTTCCTCCACGTGGGGGGGGGGGATATCAGGATTTTAGAGATGCTTAGGTGGGGCATGGCCAAAAAAAGTTTGGGAACCACCAGTCTAGAGGGCTCTGAGGCAGAGTAGTGAATCTGCTGCCTTGTAGGAATGCTTCCTTGCCTCCTTTTATGATCTGCTTGTTTATTTGTAAAGTTATTATACCTTCAGTTTCCAGCACTTTATTGCATTCAAAGGAAACTGAGGTAGCACTGGCTTGGAAATGTCTCAGCACTCAGAGAAGGGTATACAAAGGAAATGGTTTTATCATGGTACTAGACCACTTGCCTCTTAGTACTAAAAGACCAATGTTTTGTCATGGTGCTTATTAACAGCAAGCAGTTTAGCTCTTCATACTAAAAGACCAGTGTTTCAGAACAGCAGGAGTGAGGCCTTAGAAAAGTGGGAGGCCTCCATCAAGACCTAAAAATCTAAATACAGGCACAAATACATACATGTGCTGAACAGGAATGGGTTTCAAGAATCTGTTTGGTCCACCCTACACTGAGATGAGATTTTTAAAAAATCAATCCTAACTACCTCGCAGAGTTTCCTCAAACAAATTTTCATTCCACATGACCCAATAAGGCTCCTCAAGAATTAAAATCAAAAATACAAAAATGGCAAGTCATTACAGTCTGCCTGGGGGAGTAATGGGAACAATGCCACAGCCTCTCTGTCCAATTTAATTTACAGAGTTGTTTTGAAGATAAAATGAATTCATATACGATAAATCTGTTTTCCTAAGCCTCCGAAATAGAATTGGGAAGAGATAAAGTGTAGCACAGTACCATTTGCCTAAATGACTTGAACTCTCATTCGGACTTTCATCTAAGGGCAAAGGGGCTAAAAGTGGGGAGCAGGCAGGGATGCATTTGTGGGCCATGCCCCCTCCCACACCTGCTTGTCCTCTGCAGACCTTCCCACATTGAGATGGAAGGTCTGAAGGGAGATTCTGAGGGTATTCAACAGAACGTGCTTAAATCTTCCCTCTGATCAGGAAGCCTGCCATTTTAGGGTTCCTAATCACAAAAAAGAACCTAAATGTGTTCACCCAAACCTGTTTAGATTCCCCATTGATATTCCCTCTCAACATGGAAAAGTTCTAAGATGTGCCAGTGCACCTGATAACACTGAGGGCAGGCTAGCATGCATAGCTGTGAGTCCTTCTCATGGAGGCATTACTCTTGACAATTTTTGCCTTGTAGCCTTGAAAGCCTTGCACATTTTAGTCCAACTGATTTCAGCGGGATATGTTGCAATGCTGTACCCACTTACTTGGCAGTAAGCCTCTTTTAACATAATAGAATTTACCTCTAAGATATGTACACCATCGCTGTCAACTTTTCCCTTTTCTTGCGAGGAATCCTATTCGGAATAAGGGAATTTCCCTTTAAAAAAGGGAAACATTGACAGCTATGATGTACACCCAGTTCCTGCTATCCCAACACAATGCTTTCTTAGGAAATCGCTTCTTAGGTGAGTGTTTGCATAATGAGTTGAAAATTTCCATGGATTCCTATGGGAAAATTATTAATGCGTTTCTGACCACTGAAATCTTGCAAAAGGCAAACAAGGGAGGAAAAAACTGCTATTTTATTTGCCCAGTCTCTGCCTCCTTACTTCTCCCTCCCTCCCACCATGGATTCTGGCAAAACAGCTGCCATGGACTAGCAAAACACAAAAAGTAAGGCTTGTTTAAGTCACCTTATTTGTTTACAGCACCACACACAGGTCCAGCTATTTGGATATCTGAATCTGAGTACAGAGAACTTTGGGTATTAATTACCCAAGTTTGGATAAGTGAATTTTCTTATAATGAGTGTTTGGATAGTGGGACCCGTGTGTATAGGAATTTTGCTTTTAAGCATGTAAAAATGCTTAACTTTGGCCATACAGTGATCATGAATTTCACTAATATATATTTATTACATTTCTATACCACCCTTCATCCGGAGGTCCTAGGGCAGTTCACAACAGAAAAATACAGAGAAAAATGGAATGTAAATTTCTCTTTCAGATTCCTGACTCTTTGTGGCATAATAAGCCACTGCTCTCCACTGAAATTCTACTCATCATTATGTGAGTGTTTAACATTTTCAACTGCTTTACTTACATTGTAATTAGATGACGGAATATCACCAAACAGTTAAATCTGCTCTCTCTATTGTATCTAAGCCAACTTTGGATAAGACCTTGAATCTGGTTTTATCACTTTGCCAATACAAACTAAGACCACTAGGTTTGGCTGTAATAGCAAGTTGTGCTCTGATGAAGTCCAGGCATTTCTCTTGCTGTGGCAACAATCACTTCGCAAAGCTCTCCTCTCAGTGATTCTGAAAGATTTACTGTAATGAAGGGTTTACGAAGCAGAAAATACATAGCTGGCTTTTCAGATACTAGGTGGAGGAAGCAACTGGGAAAGAAAAACATGCTTGTTCTGAACAGTACACAAAGCCATGGGTACAGAGGAAATTGTGGTGAAGAACATGAGACATCAAGGTGTCATTTCTTCTCCGATATTTTCTTACCACTATCACTTTTTTAAATAAAATATGTTGTTGTGAAACAGATACAAATAGATTCTTGGGATGCTAATGCTTCCCGCATGAGGCTCTCAGTTCCCAATGTGTCTTACTGTCTATGTTTCCATAGAAGCTCTGGTTAATTTACCGTATTTTTTGCTCTATAAGACTCACTATTTCTCTCCTAAAAAGTAAGGGGAAATGTGTGTGCGTCTTATGGAGCGAATACAGGCTGCGCAGCTATCACTGAAGCCAGAACAGCAAGAGGGATTGCTGCTTTCACTGCACAGTGATCCCTCTTGCTGTTCTGGCTTCTGAGATTCAGAATTTTTTTTTCTTGTTTTCCTCCTCCAAAAACTACATGCGTCTTGTGGTCTGGTGCGTCTTATAAAGAGAAAAATACGGTATGTTTGCTACCATTCCATTACACACTCCATTTGTAGGAAATGATTCTGATGCCATTTTACAATTTGTTACAATAGAATAAGCCGCTGTGAGTCCCTTTCAGTTAGAAATATGAACATATGATACTGCTTTGCACTGATACAGAAAACAGAGCCATTGAGCCCACTAATTACTACTTTTTCAATCATTCTCCAACACTTCTGGAAGAGACCATTCCCAACCCTAAGACCTGGAAACACCAGAGAATGAAGCCTATGTCCTACTGCAGTGAAAAAACATTTGCTCTGGACCTGAGCTAATGTCTTTTCCATATAATAAATCACAAAAAATAGATTTTTCTACATGTATACATTTTCATACTTGGGTTTCACTCAAAATGTAAATTTCAGTTTTGCAGTAAATTTCTGGTAAGGAGCCATCTTGGAGAATGAATAGCCTCCAAAATGGTAACTGTAAAAACTTTGGTCAGTGCTTTTTGTATTTAAAACAGCCTACCACATTAGAGAACTGTGTGGTGGTGTTTATGTGGTTTTTGACAATGAGCACACTTTGTGAATAATATAACTCATTTTAATCATATTTAAAAACATAGTATTAATGTCTAATTTTCATGTTTCCATTTTAGAGATGCAAACTGATATCGTTACCCTTCAGAACTGAATCAGTCATAACTAGGCTTGCCATATCTCAAAAAGTGAAAATCTGGACACAAAAGGGTTTTTTGGATAAAGCTGTTGAGCTTTCGGAGCTATTTTTAGGGGAAATCGCCAAAATGACACAGCCGACATGGGTTGCCATACATCCATATTTTCCTGGATGTTTCAGTGATTTCCACCTAGACACTGTTCCCAATGGCCAGATCCCAGCTATGTCTGGGAAATTCTGGATGTATGGCAACCCTACATCAACGTTCTTTTGATTGGTCTAGTCATCTGCTTTTGGGGAAGACATCCTATACTAGACCAGTCATGGTGCACATCCAAACCTTAAATTCTTATTCCTGCTCTTAATCTATCCACTGGGTGAGTATTGTTTACAAATGCTTTGTCCATTCCAAAGTCTGGCCTAAAAGCAACACACACTGCAAGCTGACTGTCATGGTTGCCATATTTGGAGACAAGCTGATCAGTTCAGCCTGTGTGTTCACTCCCAATAAACGTAAGTGAAATTTCTAGAGTGAGCCATAGTAATCTCTGGAATATGAGATTCATGCCATGAACTGCTGAAATCTGTGTGTATGAAACAAAAACCTGATCACCATTGCCTTGTCCTCTGATGTTTGCCAATTACAAAGGTGAATTTTATTTCTATGCCAAATACTTTTTGTAAAACACCTGGGAGGAAATTCAGAAACAACAATTATATTTATTTGAAGTCTCCAGTGTAGAGATTCACTCCTGCTCTCTTACCTCCCATGCCATTTTACTAAATATAATTGTTTTAAAGTTACTGATTTTATTTTAATATTTATTTTCAGGTTTATTTTATTATTTTTAATGAATATTTTAGATTGCCTTTAAGGAACCACTTAGAGATCTTTTGCATCCTAAATAATGAGGGTGTTATATTAGAAGTCACTAATGCCTTTCATATTTTTTTAAAAAAAGGTCCCTTCCCTTCTACAACTAGAAAAAAATGTATTTAATAATACACATTTTTTCAATATGATTCACCCTAAAATAATATATTTCTGCATGTTATTTTCACCAATATATGCATTTTTTGGGTACTTTACCACAATATATAATTTTTTTTGCATGCATTACTTAAGAACTACATTGCAAAATTTGAAGAAGGATGGATTTTGAAGGATGACCTGGGCCTTGGAGGACTAAGTCTTGATTGAGTTTATAAGTTTATTCTAGCAAAACTCCCATCCTGGACCTCAGACAAGCACTGCATGGGCTGGAAGGAAGTTCCATTGAACAAAGGGGAATACAATCCAGAGTAAACTGTCTGGGGTCGCACTGTACATATATATTTCTATATTGAATCTAGTCCTCATAAAGCGCGGCTTATGAGTGGAGTGATTTGAAAGGAGAATCCACTTGTTAAGCTTTCAATTAAAGCACAGTAGATGAATCAATTCTACTGCATGCTCTTTCTGTGTTCCAGTCCTGTCTGGTCCAGTGGTACCTTGGGTTACAAATGCTTCAGGTTATGCATTTTCAGGTTGTGCACCGCGCCAAACCCAGAAGGACCAGAACGGCTTACTTCCGGGTTTCGGCACTCACGCATGCGCAGAAGCGCTAAATTGCGCTTTGCACATACGCAGAAGTGCTGAATTGCGACCCACGCGTGCGCAGACGCGGCGCTGCGGGTTGCGAACACTGCGGGTTGCGAACGTGCCTCCCACACGGATCACGTTCGCAACCCGAGGTTCCACTGTATTCAGTTTGTATCATTATTCTACACCTTTCACAATCTACTGTCAATTAAACACTCTTGGGGGTTTCTTTGCATTTTGTACTCACTTTTGCTTTGGTCTTTTGAAAGGCTGAGGTCCGGTTAAATGTTAACTGAAACAGTGTTGCTGAAATAGACCTCAGCTCTCTATTTTAATTATAACAAATAGCAGCAACTTAAAGAGTAAGCTGTTATTCCCAGTTAGAACACTTGCCCATCTAACTCAAGCCCTTAGCTCACCAGGTTTTCAGACAGAAGTCTTTTCTAGTCCTTCCTGCACCAGGGATGGAACCCAGAACCTTTTTCATATGCCCTACCACTGAGCTCTACCACCCTCCTACATTTTCCTTTTCTTTTTCTAAACTGTGGTTCTAGTAAAGGAACTCTTAAAAAGAAAATGTGTCCCATCAAAGAAAATGGATGCTTCCATACCTCGAATGGTGTGTGATCCTTGAATGATCATGGATCTAATATGCAAAGTGAGGGATCGGATCACTATTGTTGTCATTCGCATTGCCAACATGAACTTTGCAATACTCTGAATGACACTATTATGGTTATAAATACATAAACAGACTGAGCAGGATTGATGCCATTTCTGATTGGTTTATGCCAAGTGGCCTCATGACAGATTGTGGCTGAAGGTCATAATAGTATGAAAAGACACAAAACATGGACATGGAAAAGGAGACTTTTTAAAGCTCCGGAAAAACAAAGGCTTATCGGAGCAGCTGCCTTAATTTGAGTAGCAATTATTCCTCTCCTACTCTTCAAGCTTTCTTTCTGTTACTGAGGTGGTTTCAGCTTTGGACAAACAAGTGAAATTTTGATAAGTTAATCAGTCACTGTAGAGGACTTTTTTCTCCCAAGCTAGAGTATTTCACTTTTCCTAAGTTTGGGAGTTTGTTAGTCAATTGTGATAAATCTCTCAGTTTCCTCCTGTGTTCTCTCTCTCTCTCTCTCTCTCTCTCTCTCTCTCTCTCTCTTTTTTTCTCTCTCTGCTCTTTGGAATTTCAGCATCCACTTGTAGATTGTCATCATTTTGAGGAGATTTAAAGCAGGTTTATAAGGAACAGACTAGTGGTTCTAAAATGGGTGAGTTACAAAGGGGGCCTGCCAGTAACACACTGTCTTCTCATTCAGAACTATCTCTGAATTCTTAAACCAACTTTTAATTTGTTTATCACATTTTAATCCAACCCTTCCTTGAAGAAGCTTAGATTGGGATGTACGAGGCTTCCCTTACATCAACTCTGTGAGGAGGTTAGACTGAGAGCTAGTGGCTTAACTGAGGAGGAGGAAAGGGACTGAACCTAGACCTACCTAGACCTACCAGCATGTCAGACCAAAGACTAGACAGCCTGTTATATAAAGGACTCCTCAAAATGAGGAGAGTGTCCCCTCCTGGCTATGGGACACATGGCCAGTTTAGCAGACCCCCAGATGTTGCTGGACTCCAACTTCCTCATCCCTGACAATGCTGACTGGGACTGATAACAATGTGGGTTCAGCATCTGGAGAGCTCTCAAGTTCCGCACCTCTGGTGTCTGGTTACTCACTAGTAAACGGAAAGCATCTTCAGAGGTACTTTCTTTTGCTTCTGCTACTCCGATTACAGAATTCAGCATTTGTCTCAAGGCTTAATTTGAACAAGTTCTGTGAACCACCCTGAAACCTCCAGGTACAGGGCAGTATATAAATTCAATTAATAATAATAATAATAAGCAGGGTTTATTTTCAGTGCCAGTTCTGAGCCTTGAGGAATTTTAACACAACACCTCCGAGCATGAGCAGAGTGCTTTTTTCTCACCACTGACTAACCACAAGCCCACCATACACACCAGGGATTAAGTTATTCCAAGTCAGAAGGTATGACTTTAAGAGTTTTATGCCCCATCATCTCCCATTTTATACATTAATGTTCCATCTGATACTTGAAACAGGCCCAGTTAAGTCTCATTTTTAGACACCTGAGCATATATACACAATCAATGAGCTCTTAGTAAGAAGAATGGGTTGTATCAAACCAAGTTCTGCTAAGAGGAGACCTGTTGAAATGAATGAACTGACATGTATATTAACTTCAGTGGGACTAACTCTGAGTAGGACTAGTACTGGACTCAAATGGGGTTTCACACAACCCCCTCACACATAGAAAGCAGATGTGAGGCAACCATGGAGTTGTATTAACTAGTCTCGCCTACCATACATTTGGCGGTGGGGATCATGATTTATCTTGGTTCCTCTTTGCATGGAGGACCTCCACCTTGGCGTTTACATTGGGCCAATCGCAACAGCCACCAAACACATTGCCAGCAGGGGTGTAGTCCATCCTTAACGTGGCATCTGAGCATGCCTGGCACAGGGACCCCTTTTCTCATCACCCCCTTGCCTGTAGTTTCACCACATGGTTATATAAACCCCTTTCACATGCCACCACTTCCTGAATTTGCTCCCCTCTGCACTTTGTAAACAATGTACTTTGCACAAAGTACTTTGCACAAAGACAATTTCCACAGACAGACGTTTCGGTGAAATAAACCATTGAGTGACAAGCCTAATCATGTATTCTCATGGTGAGAAAACTCCTTGTTTGAACTGCCCAACAACTTCATTTTAGATCGATTAATATCAATGCCACTGTGAGAACAAAGTGGTCCTTTATTTTAATGCTCATGCTCCTACTGCTTTTTTTTATTTTTATTTTTTTGCCTACTATAATTCACACTAGATGGATTAATTCTCTGTGTTCCTTCTCACACCCTTAACAGAAGGCAGAAGGAAACATCTCTCATGACATGACTTCAAAGCACTATGATTTTCTTCCTCACTTGCGAAAGGTGGTATCTGTTTTTCTCTTTATTATGCAATGTGACAGGTTAATGTTGCACACTTGATGTCTAGCTGAGATGACAAAAGGTTTCCAGATGGATCTAACAAGCAAGTAATTATGGTTGATGAAATTAGCAATGTTTGTTTGCCTTATTCGCCCCAAAGTAGAGAGTCTATAAGTTGTTTATTTAAAGGTTACATATGAACAAAAAGTCTCATAGCACCTTAAAAACTGACTCATTTATTATGGTGTAAGCTTTTGTGGACTACAGTTCACTTCACTAGGTGCATCTATTAAAGTTTGTATCTTGATTAATTTGTTTTAGTCTTTAAGATGCTGCAAGTCCTTTTGCTGTTTTTGTTTTGTTTGTTTTTGTTTTGTTTTTCTGCAAAAGACTAACATGGGGGTAGCTGTGTTAATTTGTTGCAGCAAAAACAAAGAGTCTTGAAACACCCTACATTTATTATGGCATAACCTTTTGTGGACTGAAGTCATCTGATGAAATGAACTCATGAAAGCCGATGCCGCAATGAATTTGTTAGTCCTGAAGGTGCCACAGGACTCTGTTTTAATCAGCAATTTGAACTTCTTAAGAGAACATTTTAATGTTCTCAAGAGGAAGTTCTGCTTTACTCACAAAGGCACAAATATTGTCCTTCCTGTAGTAGGTATATTTTGTGTTGGAGTCAGATGGAAGGATATAGTGCCAACTTCTCCTAGCAGAAATGACCCAGGTCTAAGATGGTTTTCAAAGGGTCACTTCACATACTAATGTTCATCACTTGGTCTTTAAGCAATGGATGATTGTGTAAAATGTCTTCATTGAAATATATTGCAAGGAGCCCCTGAAGGCAGAGTCCTTGATCACCTTTGTCTCTGAAGTCACAGCCCCAAATTATGTCAGTCAGATAGATAGATAGATAGATAGAGAAGGCAATTGGCAAGTCCAGGGTTTTTCTGAAAGCCACTGTGCTTTCCTAGGCAAAACTCACAATAGCCATAGGAAAAACAAGTACTTTTATTTACCGTACTTCGACATCCTTCTCCAGAATCACTATGATTGCAATACCCAAATTCACTGTGATTAAAAATCCATCAAAACAAAGTATCAGTTTTGCCATCAAACGTAATATCCCCCACTCCTTGATCCCCCTCCCCACTAGAGCACACGGTATTTCCCTAGCCAAGTTGGCTTAGCTTTTAAAAAAACAAATAAATGCAGTGGTCTATTTTAAATCACAAAATGCATTTTGATGGCACCCTAACTGGGCTCAGGTATACAGGATGGGCTTTTCTTCTGCAAGGCCCACTTAGCAAGGCAGGATATATGGTACTTCTCTCACTCCTTGCCTGGGGAGCAAATAATGCACTGGCTGACATGCCCAGTGGGTGAAATGTGGCTACCCTCATTTGCAATCATTGATTCTCCTGCCCACAGTTAATTATTTGACTAATTGACTTGTCTTGAGTCTTCTTTCTGCATGTGGGAACAACAATTTCTCAGTTCCTGCTGCCTCCTGATTAGCTGCTGGATAGCATTATCATTTTGTATCCAAGATGGCTTCAACAGAGTCATTTTCCTTTGGAGAACAAAGCACTGGAGACATAGGGTGGGATCCAACAAAATAGACTAGCAGTGACTAGCAGGATCCAACGAAACAGTGACTTGTAGTTGTGCAATGTAGTTTGCTCACCTTTCTACAGCTTGAGCACTCTCTAAATCTGCTCCAGGGGTTCCCCCAACCCTCTACAGCCGATCGGGGGCAGGGGGCACACAGAGAGAGGAGAGCGCAAGGAAGTTACATTGTGCAGCTAAAAGTTATTGTTCTCATGTAACTGTTTAGTTGCATGCCACTTTTACAGTTCATTTAGAATATTGCTGATTGAGAAAGAGTGATACGGAAAGCTGTTCCCAAACAAATCGTCAGTGCAGGCTTTATATTTGAGAAAGCCTAGCTTAAACGCCAACTGCTTCCATAAAGGTGCAGAGTACGTCATTCTCCTTCGCTCCCTTCTGTACACTGTGAGGTTTGCCGCTGAGAATCTCAAGCGGGTAGATGGAACAGGGAGCCAAAGTTCATGGGCTCTCTGGGAGACAAAGACTGCCAAGCAGTAAGAGGTCGCTGGCCTTTAGCCAGGGTTAAACAAACAGTGAGTATAAATAGAGAAATAATTCACTACTAATTTGCAACATTCTATACCACTCCTGGGCAACGAGATCATTTTCTACCATAGAGATGAAATAGTCACCAATTCTTTCTTTTGATGCTTTTGCTGAATGTTGAATTAATGTCCTGCAAAAACAGTGTAGTACGCATTGAGGATCTTTTATACTCCAGGGGTCTTATACTCCATGGCTGCTAGTATTGCAGTTTTTAGAGGCTTCTGGGAGTTAACTTGGAAGAAGATCAGAGTCCTGTCTAAGCTGTTACCCAAATATTGTATGATGTGCGTATGACAAATATGTGCTGTATCATATTAATTGCCTAATTTGTCATTACGGTGATCTGAGAGCTAGTGTTATGAGTCAAGGAAACCCAAGTGCCTTATCAGCCATGAAGTGTATTGTTTTTAATGCAATATACCTATTTATATAATGCTTTTCAAACAAATACAATTTTAAAATAAGCCATGCTGGTGAACACATGTAAGATGTCACTGTGAGCTGCAGCAGTGCATCATCAGGGTTGCACCTCAAAGGAGATAGGACCATGTGCATTCAGCACATTTTCTTCTTTCAGATTCTTCTCCCACCACCACCATTGTGTGCACAGTATGGGACTGGGCCACCAGGAACTGGAATGATGGAGCTACTGCCATTATCCTTCACAGTCATCTGCATTCACCTGGTGCCATCACTTTTTATTCATATGTACTGTAAAGGTAAAGTAAAGGACCCCTGGATGGTTAAGTCCAGTCAAAGGCGACTATGGGGTTGTGACACTCATCTCTATTTCAGGCTGAGGGAGCCGGCGTTTGTCCACAGACAGCTTTCCAGGTCGTGTGGCCAGCATGACTAAACTGCTACTGGTGCAACGGAACACTGTGACGGAAGCCAGAACACACATAAATGCCGTTTAACTTCCTGCCACAGTACCTATTTATCTACTTCCACTGGTGTGCTTTCGAACTGCTAGGTTGGCAGGAGCTGGGACAGAGCAACGGGGGCTCACCCTGTCACGGGAATTTGAACCGCCGACCTTCCAATCGGAAAGCCCAAGAGGTTCAGTGGTTTAGACCACAGTGCCACCCACGTCCCCATCCATATGTAATACCAGTATGGGTTCACTTTATGAGGCTAGGAAGTAGAACTGCAGGCACGAGGTTACAGGATCAGCATTGGCTAATCCAACTTCCTGCTAGTGCATGAAATCTATTACAGTATTACAGCATCCACCCAGTTCTATTTGCCTTGACCATGTCTAGGGTTGGAAGATAAAAGAGGACATGAAAGCTCTTGAAGCTTGGAAAGCAATCTTTATATGGCACCTGTAAACTTTTGAATAGCCCCATTGCTGTAAAAAATAAATAAAACAATAGCACAAACTGCTCTCTTTATGTTAAGCATATAGAAAAAAAGAGTACCACCATATTTCTGTTAGTCTGGTTGCATGCAAAGAAGGGGGAAATACGATGCGGATGTTATTCCTCTGATTCATGCAATTGACACAGTTGAGTTTGAAGTAAATAAAAGCAGCAATTAAATGTAATTTCTTCTTTCTTTCTTTCTTCCTTCCTTCCTTTCTTTTTCTTTCTTAATACCATCCCTTGCTTTCCAGTCCCCCTGATCTGATTAAACATACCATTAGCTCATAATTCTGCCTATACAGATTCACTCTTTCGCTTGCCATATTTACATAGAGTAACACTATCTGCAAGTTATGTCATTCACCCATTTATGTAACCACTGGACTGACATAAGAAGTAACAATGGCTGGCACAGAATTCAAGGAGCTCAGAAAGACTAACCTTCCACTTCCTTGCAACACATCATCGAAAGAAACCTGCAAGCAAACAAAACTACAGAGACACAAAAACATACAGAAACATCTTTCTCTCAAAGCACACATGCACACTACAGTTATTCCCACAACTCATTTTCTCATATACATCGGGTAGCTTGATCATATGCATGTTTATTCAAAAATAAGGTGAGGAATGGGTAACAAAAAAATGTTTAGCATGGAGAAGACAAAGAGGTGATACAAGAGTCATCTTCAAATTTCTGAAGGGCTGTCACAAGCTTTTTTTCCCTGCTGAACCAGTGGATTAATTTACAAGAAAGGAGACTCCAAGTAAACATTAGGCAGAACTTTCTGATGGTAAGAGCTGTTGAACACTGAAATGGGCTACCTCAGAATGGGCTCCCTATCCTTCATTTGAGGTTTTTAAAGAGTTTGGATAGCCATCTGCCAGGACATCTTTAGCTGTGATTCCTGCATTGCAGAGAGTGACTCATTGGGTCCCTTCCAACTCTACAATTCTATGGTTCTATGGCTCATGGTCATGATGGCCTTTGGTCGGATCCCACAGGGCTCTTCTTATATTAATAGGAGTTAGTAAAGGTAAAGGGACCCCTGACCATTAAGTCCAGTCGTGGACGACTCTGGGGTTGCGGCGCTCATCTCGCTTTACTGGCCGAGGGAGCCGGCGTACAGCATGACTAAGCCACTTCTGGTGAACCACAGTAGCGCATGGAAACGCCGTTTACCTTCCCGCCAGAACAGTACCTATTTATCTACTTGCACTTTGACGTGCTTTCGAACTGCTAGGTTGGCAGGAGCATGGACCGAGCAACAGGAGCTCACCCCATCGCGGGGATTTGAACTGCCGACCTTCTGATCGGCAAGCCCTGGGCTCTGTGGTTTAACCCACAGTGCCACCTGCATCCCATAGGAGTTACTCCCCAGTAAATTAAGGGTGAGCCCACAAACCTCCCTTTGCTCATGCCCCCAACACACAGCTGCCCCCTATGGCAGGAGGACGGCATCACTGAGCATCCCTAGAGAATGCAGTGCCATAGGAAGGAATGGGCTTGCGACAAGCCACTGCTTAGACGCAGGCATGGCCAAACTTGGCCCTTCAGCTCTTTTCGGACTACAACTCCCATCATCCCTAGCTAACAGGACCAGTGGTCAGGGATGATGAGAATTGTAGTCCTCAAACAGCTGGAGGGCCAAGTTTGGCCATGCCTGGTTAGAGCAACAGCCAGAGGCAGGAGCCTTTGAGAGGTTGGCCCCACTTCTTGTGCTGACACAGCAACACTCATCCCCGTGAAAACCAAGTGGAGGTTCAAAAGAGCAGTCACCTCTGTATATATTAGCCTGCCCTCCCACACTGGGTGGCAGGGAATATTGGTCCTTTAGTGGATCAGCTAGCAAGTGATTGTGATGAGGAACAGCTGCTGCTTCCATATGATCATTCACCATCTCCATCTGGATGACACTGCTCCTTGCAGATGGAGCTGCAGTGGAAGGGATGCTCAGACGGGAAAGCAAGCAGCAGAGGCTGCAGGAAGCAGCTGGGGTTTCCTGCTCCTTCTGCATTAGAGAACTGGTTGTTAGGTAGCAGAGAGGGAGGAAAGATGGGAAGCATTAACTGCTTCCACCACTCACTGTTCTCTGTGTTGTTTCACAACTCCCATCTGCCCTGGCCAGAACGACTTGAGATGATGGCCAGGGCAGACTTAACACAAACTGGAGAGTGGGAGGTTGGAGAAGACTGCTCTTGCAGGTAGGCTCCCTGACAAATATATGAGGCCAGTGCTTTTCTCTGGGGGGGACGGGACACAGGGGTGCACATACTCCTAAACATTTTGTGAATCTTTTGTCCATTTACTGTATTTATTTTTCCCAATTTTCTTGAGTCAAAATGCGAGTGGCCCTAAACATATTTTTTTTAAAGGCACTGTATGAGGCAACCAACACACACTGCACAAAACTGGGTCCTCACAGCCTGTCATTCAGTGTGAAGCAACCAGGCCAAGTCACAGACCAAAAAACTGAGTGATTCCCAAGCCTGGTGTGGTTTATTTTAGGTGAGTGTTTCTGTATATGTCTGTTTGTCTATACTTTTTTTTTTTAGTTAACTTTCCAAACATTTCTGTTGTTTTCTGTAAATCGGGGGGGGGGGGGTTTGATAACTTAATACAAATAACATGTTAAATACTGAGAATCCGAGGAAACAGCAGGTTGGCCCACTCTGTGAATGAAGTGCCAGGTGGCCTCGCCCTCAATTCGAGCACAGGCTTGAGCCCACTTCCCCTCATGCCGCCGCCCCAAAGCCGGGCGAGAGGGGGCGCCAAGCCCCTTGCACGGAGCGGGAGCAGCCGCTGGCCGCGCTCAAGAGGGACCCCCGCGACCGGTTCTGGTGTTTTTTTTCCTCGGAGAGACGCAGCCGGGACAGTGGCAACGGGCCCGGGCTGCTCTTTGCGGCGCCGGCGCTCTGCTCCGAGGCTTCCCTCAGCCTCCCTTGCTGGCTCTGGCCAGGGAGGGTCGTCCGCCCCGCGGTGGAGGAGCGGCGAGGAGGAGGAAAGGGCGCCGCAAGGACACTTGGCCGGCAGCGGCTGGAGAAGCGCCTCCCGCAGCCCCGAGACCTCGCTCGTCCCTTCGAGCCGCAGCTTCGGAGGGCGCCTTCGTAAGGGGCAAGGAAAGTGTTCTCTGCGGGCTCCGGCGCCTTCCCTGGCGAGGGGAATCCCCACCAGCTCGGCTCGGCGCCCGGCGCCTGACCCCCAGCCCAGCCCGCGGCTTCCCCTCCGCCGGGACCCTTGGCGGCTCTGGCCCTTTCGCGCTATGTTGAGCTCCTCTTGTGATCTCCGGAGGAGCGGCCGCGGGCGCCTCGGCTCGCCATTGGCTGCCCGGCGCCTGACGTCGAGGCTGTGGGGAGGCGTCGCGGGCGCGGGCCGCCGGAGGATCGCTCCCAAACATGCTGAAAGCCCCCGAGCAAGTGGCGGCGCTTGCAGCAGCTGCGGGAAGTCGATCGCCGCCGCCGCCGCTCCTCGGGCGCTTGCGAGAGGGCAGGTCCTCTTTTCGCCTTCATGCCTCCGGCCGGGCTGCCCTGACGTGAGCCTCACTTGGACAGCCATGGGCGATGGATGGGGCTTCCTGGAGAACAGCGCTCACAACAGGTCCAACGCCTCCAGCGACAGCAACGGGAGCGACGCCTCCGGCGACAGCAGGCAGCTGGCCCCCCAGGAGCTGTCCCAGCAGTGGGTGGTGGGCATGAGCCTGCTGATGTCCTTGATGGTGGTGTTCATCGTGGTGGGCAACGGGCTGGTGATCGCGGCCATCGGGCGGACGCAGCGGCTGCAGACCCTCACCAATGTCTTCATCACCTCCCTGGCTTGCGCCGACTTGGTCATGGGCTCCGTGGTGGTGCCCTTTGGGGCCACGCTGGTGGTGCGCGACTCGTGGCTGTGGGGCTCCTTCTTGTGCGAGTGCTGGACTTCGGTGGACGTCCTGTGTGTGACGGCCAGCATCGAGACCCTGTGCGTCATCGCCATTGACCGCTACCTGGCCATTATCTCGCCCTTCCACTACCAGAGCCTCATGACGAAGAGACGGGCCAAGATCATTGTCTGCGTCGTTTGGGCAATTTCCGCGTTGGTGTCCTTCTTGCCCATTATGATGCATTGGTGGAGAGACACGGGCCATGATGCTATGGAGTGCTACGAAAACCCCAGCTGCTGCGACTTCGTCACCAACAGGGCCTATGCCATCGCCTCCTCCGTCATCTCCTTCTACATCCCCCTCTTTGTTATGATTTTTGTCTACCTGAGGGTCTACAGAGAAGCGAAAGAGCAGATGAAGAAAATTGACAAGTGCGAGGGCAGGTTCTACAACAGTCACCAGCAGCAACATCAGCCTGTCCACCAGGACCTGCCGATTTTGGGCAATGGTCAAGCCAATAGAAGGAAAACCTCCCGCATTTTGGCTGTAAGGGAACAGAAGGCCCTCAAGACTTTGGGCATCATCATGGGAGTCTTTACTCTCTGCTGGTTACCCTTCTTCTTGGTCAACGTGGTCAAAGTTTTCAACAGAGGCCTCGTACCCGACCAGCTCTTTGTCTTCTTCAACTGGCTGGGCTATGCCAACTCTGCCTTTAATCCCATCATCTATTGCAGGAGCCCCGATTTCCGCAAAGCCTTCAAGAGGCTGCTGTGCTGCCCTAGGAAAGCCGACCGAAGGCTGCATGCTACCACTACGGAGCTCTCTCGTTACCCTGGGGGCTTCATCAGTACTCTGGGTAACAGCCCTCCATGCACTCTGGGAGGGACATGGTCTGCTTACAATGGTGGGACGCAGGATGGAAGTGACTCCAGCTTAGAGGACAGGAACAGTAAAACCTCCTATTCAGAATCCAAGGTATAAGGGCAGATGGTGGGGAGCATCAAAGCCATGGATTAGGTGGGCACACTGCAGTTCAAGAAGGGGAACCAAAGAAACAGGCAAGGGAAGAAAACACCCCCACCAGGGGACTGGCTAATATACAAACACCAGACTGAGCTGTCTCACTTGCAGGGGGGCGAGGCGGGGGGGGGGGGAGAGATTTTATTTACTTAAGGTGAAAAGCAGGTGAATGTGTATGCATCGGACCACTTCTGACTCATCAGAAACCGAAGCAAACAGAGAGCAACTGACCATTGAACAAAAGAGATAAACGGCCCATTTCCCCAAGCTATTTGGATTATTATTATTAAGGATAATAATATTTGCATGGAGGGGCTGTTGGTGAGCCAGGAAGAGGGCAGAAATAAGTTGGAAGGACTTTGCACAAGAAGTGTTTCAGGAAGAGCTGAAGTCGTGGCAGGCACTTAGCCTGACAGGCATTGAAAAGGGCGGGGGATTCTTCTCCTGATATTGAGGGAAACAGGATCAAGCCCTTGTTGGCTTGACCGCAGAGCTACATAGAGCGTTTTTTTCGTTGTTTGTACTAATCCCAGGCATTCAGTAGCAGAAAAAGTAGCCTGGTTATTTATTTATTTTTTAAAAAAGAAGTGCTGGTCACCCAGTGCAAATTTCAGGCACTCAGCACCTTTGCAAACCGTGCTAAAAGTCTCTTTAATAAGCCATTGAAAAACTATTCCTGTGAGTTTTACCATGCAGTCTGATCCTATGAGTTTGATGGAACTTACTTGCAAGTAAGTGTGTGTTAGCTTGTAGCCTTAATAACTTAGTGGCCACACTCTTCTTAAACATCTAGAAGGTAAAGATACACCAGTAATATTGTTCATTGTCATGTTTGTGTTCTGAACAAATCTCTCCTGTTTTTGATTTTTTTCATCCCATTGACTTTCTGGGGTGTGTGTGTGCAATTTTCTTGTCCTATGAGACAACAGCAATCAGGCTATAAAACGTCTACCTCAAGCTGTGCATATTGTACAGAAAACAAATGTGTTTATATTAAACAGCTTATTTATGTATCATTAGTTAGGGTTTTGTCTTTGTTTTATATATATAGAGAGAGAGAGGCAGGAGCATTGATCCTCTGTAGACAATTTGTTCACATTGAAAATTTAAGGGGGGGGGAATTGGCTGGGGGAACCAGAAATATTACTGCACATTTGAAAAGAATGAGAGAGGTTTTTCTTTTGCACAGTGTTAGCAATTGTAGTTTGATGCATGCTCTCTGTCTCTTACACACACACATACACACGCGCACACAGACACGCAGAGAGAGAGAGAGAGAGAGAGAGAGAGAGAGAGATCCACTGGAAAACAAAGAAGGGTGTTGTTGTTTTTAAAAAGCATCAAATCCCATCCTGATATTTGTTGTTGTCTGATATGTTGTCATTTTATTAAAAAAAAGTGTTTTATATTATTTAATGGAGGTACTGTAAGTGTATTCATACTATAAAAGAATCTGTTCTAAGAGATTTTATAAGTTATATTTTTTATTCCCAAGAGTCCATGTGAACCTGTTGAGACTTCAACACTTCATTGTCATTTCCCATTTTTTGTTTGTGTGTGTGTGTGTGTGTGTGTGTGTGTGTGTGTGTGCTCGTGCATGTGTGAGTGTGTATGCATTTTATAATGTATTTATATACTCTGGTGCAGTTTACTACTGTATAAGTCATCGGTCTATGTGCAATAAATGCCACTGCAGCACAAGCAAACCTATTTACGGTGTGTCTCTGTAGGTACAGAAACTATACCCAGTTCTGATGAAAAAAGCAGAGTCTGTTTTGCTGAAAATATGGATTGCATTACCAATACTGTTCAACTTAATGGCTTTTCCTGACACAACAATCATTTTTTAAAAAAATGTGCTTGCTGTACCAAATAAGGTAGTGTTCCAGCTAGACTGAAGGCTGCTGACTTGCCCTGAAATTCCAGAGCCAAAGGCAAGTTGTTTCCTGGCTGGTTATAAATACATTGGCTACTTTCCTTTGATAGATGGGTCTTATCATCTGTTTGAATCTGCTCTGATAATAAGAATGCCAGGCCAGGTGGCTGGAGACCTAATATTGAAAGTGACAGGGCTGTGTCTGGGCTCATTTGAGAACTGAAAATTAGGAAGGAAAAACCAACTGTTCGCTGGGATGCAGAAGCCATAAATCTCTTACACATGATTAATTTCATTGAAGTCACCAGGTTACTCAGGCTACTGAGATGAGAGATTCTGAGAATTAAAGGCTAGCCTCCTCTATCCACTTAACTTCAATTATCTTTAGCGATGTTTAAGTCATGTATGAGAGAACACCATTTAAAAAAACCACGAGTGTTAATCTTCAGGCCGTTTACTACGCTCTGATTACTTACATGGACCACTCCACGGTAGCTGGTAGGTAGATTCTTAATGTGTTCCTGGGGGAACCTTGTCAGCATTGTCATTTCTTAAATGGAGAAGCTGGTGATAATTAGATAGTGTTGCTTACTGTGATCTCTTGATGATACAAAGCAATCAGGAAAAGGAAATTTATCAGAACTTCAAACTACATTCATCCATGCAGTGAATGCTGAAGTCGTTAACGGAATTGTTGTTGCTGTGTTTGATGATCATTTTGAATTGTTTTATATGCTTTGCTCTTGGGAAATTCAACAGTCTTGGTCAATTCAGTTCCCAGCTTGTGGGATGTTAGCAGTTAGAGTTGCTACCTTTTTATAGTTGGGCTCCTGTGCCGTTAACAGCACAACAGGCAGAAAATCAAAAGTGGGGGCTTTCCTGCAAGTTCAATATGTGCTAGCCACACTGCCGTTAAGGGCACAGAAAAACCTCCGCCAGACAAAATCCAGTATTAACCCTGTTGATCAACCCTACTTGAGGCAATCTTATATCCATGATCTGAACTAATTAGGTTTGGGATATTGATGATCAATACGGAGTGCAAGGCGATGAAGCAATCCTGTTGAAATAAAGGAAATGGTCGCTCCTTTTAACTAATTGCTCTCTGCATTTGGTTTTGGATGAAATTCTGTGTCAAAATGCAGGTTGGGATAGATAGCATAGACCTTATGGACACAAAGCTGCAGATTTTTTTAAAAAAGCATTCTGTGCAGTGTATTTCATTCAAAAGATTACTAAAGAGAGAACCTGCTTTTATCAGAGGAAAATGTTGACTTAGGTCTTAGCTAGCTTAGATCCCATTGAGATCAGTAGGGTAACTTAGTGATGACTTGACCAATTGATTTCAGTGGGAACTAAGTACAGCTAATCAAAGCTTGCTTCCCAAGGCACAAGTCCCACTGAAGTTAATGGTTCTTAGTTCTGAGTCAACGCACACATTATTGTGTTGTTAGTCTAATTGCCATGAGGGACATAAAGTGTGCTGCCCATCTCTTACAATAGATTCTGTTTTCTATTTATTGCATTGTCCCGCTCTTGCTCTTAGGAGCCCTACCTGCATCAGTTATTCCTTTTTAATAGGAACGTACTGTACTTAGCATTAAGTAGCATTGGGTATGTGGGCCAACAATATATTATGGGCCCTGCTTTTTGGCATGGGTATGGCTTCTTTTCAGTTATAGCAGTGTATCCCTCCCGCTTCCCACCCCCACCCCACCCCCATTTAATAGTGGAATGTTACCATACAGGAAAAGTAGGCTTTGGGAGCTGAGTGGGTTTTACTGATAGCAGTAAAGCCCCAAAATATTTGTCAGTGGTGATGCAGCAATATATCGTTAAGTGAAGTCATTAAGATTCATTTTGACAGATTTAGGGATGGCACACCGATCCGCACGGTCCGGTGTTATAATACCATGATCATTAGTTGCTTCGGATAGTGTGCTTCAGTGTTCAGTGTGAGCTGGCCCCCATGACACAATGCCATGAACAGAGCTTCATGTGTACCAAAGTTTAGTCCTGGAGTTTGTCTTGTCAGGTTGGAATCACATGTTCATGATATGCACCAAAGTGTTTTTTTGAATCTGTGATGCTCCCCGCTACTCTTACAGATTGACCTTGGTATCGATGGATACTGCACCAGCTAAAAGCAGATGTGAGGGTGCTTTTGGCTGCCATGATATCTGTAGATCGTAATCTGAGATAAGTGAAATTGCCCTGTTGTTACACATGCTTTTATTCATGGCAAGAAGCACTGTGCATATAAAACAGACTTTGATGCATAAATTAAAAATATAACTGCCTACAGAATATGTGATAGAATAAAAAAAGTAGAGTGTTTGAGTTGCGAAGAGTGCTTTTGTCTCATTTCTGAGTATGTCTAATACTCGTACTGAGTATGAGTATTAATCAGACTAAATGCTTTGAGAACAGTATAGGTAGGTAGATTGGTATATAGATAGTCAGCAAAGCTGCTGAGATGCTGAGAGAGGTGTAGGCAGTTTATGAGGTAGAACTTACCATAACAGAACTTTTCATATTACACTGATCACTGACAAGGATTCGTCTCTTGATGGCCGCATCTTCTGCCGAAGCCTTGATTCAAAGATGCTGATGTGGCTGCACATGTGCTCATCCGGTTTGTGATCCCGTGGCAGCATCTCACGTCACATGGGATGTGACTTTTCAGTGGATGCAAGGGGGAGAGATCACCAGAAGCAGGAAGCTGATTGTGGGTTTGAACCTCATGTTGGGCAAAATATTCCTGCCTTGCAGGGGGTTGGACTCGATGACGCTTGCGGTCCCTACCAACTCTACAATTCTAGGATTTTAAATGGAAGTAACTTTACACTTCTCTGAATCAAAACCTTTTGTACTTTTTCTGCTGCAGAAAGATCCACAAACAGTTTTGTGGGCAGGGTAAATTAATTTCCTGAGATAATGTGTCTGCACATGAGCAACAGTGAGAAGTGTTTCACCTTGTACACAAGCTTGCTCTCTTTCCCGTGCCGACTCAATTACTTATACCAAAATGGTTCCTCTCCTACAGTCATTCCGCCTGGTATAGGGTTCCTTGCTTATTTTTGTTCTTTTATGTCACTGCTCCACACTGTATAATCGTACCTTCCTTAAGAGCAAATTCAGATGTGTGGGGAGGGAGCAAGGTACATCCCTCTGGTACCAACACAGGATGCGCATGTAGTCTCTTGGAAAGCACACATGCGCACCAAAACTTCTCTGTATAGGGAATAGGAATGTAGAGAATTGCCTTATGCCATCTAACTTCTTGTTGTCTACTCGGACTAGCGGCAGCTCTCCAGCTTTTCAGGCAAAGTTTTTAATCAGCCCTACCTACAGATACCAGGGATTGAACCTGAAGATTTCTGCATGAAAATTATGTTACAGACCTTCATCCAAGTCAGGGAGATGGTTTATAGCCTAATTTTCTCCTTGATGAAAGAGCTTTCTGCATGCAGGTGTTAGTGGAGTATGGGAGTGTTTTCAAATAAGCAACTTCCCATCTCCATTCTAATAGTGACCTTTTATACATGGATTGGCTGTTAGCCAATTCTCAGCTTGTTAATGGAATTGCTGCATATTGAGCAGGGGTTGGGGGTTCCTACTGAGGCTTGAAATAGTTGAGCGTCATGTTCTCTCCAACTGGCCCAAATTCTTTGTGAATCTCTTTGTGGTCTTCTCTTTTTTAAAGCACCCTAGATGTGATGCTTAATCAGAACCATAGTCCTGACAAGGAACAAGTTTTCAAAATCCATCTAGCGTTACAGCTCCAATCCTGATTTCATAGCTCTGATATCAAACATTGTCTGGGTGGGGGTAGGGAGCATAAAACAATAGAAAACTAATTTCCATGCAGGACCATGTTATAAATTGCATCAGAAAGTATGAAGGTCTTGCAACATTTCTTTGAAATTAGGGTGACAGTTTGCATCCTCCTCCTGATTTATTTGTCTGCAGTTAATATTTCTCCTCCTACCAGTAGCAGATCAAGATCCCCATAGGAAACAGCCTCCAAGGTGAAGCTAGGTCAGTTGTCACCGAAATAAAAATATGCGTCTTGCTGAATTACAGTGTGATGGAGAATTGTTGAAATACTGGGGTGTTTACAATTCTCTGGAGTAGATCTAGATTCCAAGGAGGTAGAATTTAGCACTCAGATTACTAAGTAAAGAAACATTATGGCTGTTAGTCAAACAATTTAGGCTGTTAATTGTTTTGACTAATCAGGTAACAGCATCAACTTATGGGTGCCTACTCAAAAGTAAACCTTGCTGATTTCAGGTTCGTGTGTATACAATTACACTCGGAGTTTGCAAAAACTATGAAAACAAGAGTCCAGAAGTAGGGGAAAGGCATCCTTTCTTTATTTCCGGGTGATGCTAACGTACCACAGGAAGCTGCATCTTGCAAGTGGCCTCCTTCACATAAAACAAAGGGAGGAAAAGTTTCCTCTAAGAAGGTGGCTGCCACCCATAGATTTGTACCTACTTACTTACATTTCACTTTAAAATGAAAAATGCTACCCTATTAATTGAGGGGACCATTTTTTTTAGCCAAACAAAACTTGAATAACCCACTGATCAAATAAAAGATGCAGCAATGAAGAATATAATGCCACTAGTCTACTTAGGTGCCTGCATAGAACTGTTTGCGAAGTAGCAGTTTCACTGAGCAGCTGTTTGGCAAGCTATGGAGAGCAGTGGGAAATAATCATTCTGGCTTCTACCCACTGAGCAGCCAATTGGTGCTTCTCTGATTATCAGACTGGAGAATTGTACCCATGGCACCTGTTTGTGTGCACAGCTTCCGGTC